ATATCTTTTTCTATTTCTGTGATACTCCTCTCTTACAATGGTTAGTGCAGAAAGTTTAGAATGTTGGAGTAGGGGGTGAGGGACAAAAGGCTGACAACAAGAAACTGGTAGTGACCCAAGAGGTACTGAGAGTTTGGGCATCTGGACCAGTGAGAATTTTACCTGTACTGAGGCCCTGAATTGGGGAAGGAGCTCCAGGCGCGGCAGGAGAGAGCTCATGGAGGTATAAAGCTGACCTGACTGGCAGTGCAGGGACTAAACAGATGAAGGAAAGTACAGAGAAGTCCTCTGGAGATCTGTTTGGGGAAGAAATGAGAATGGGCGGAGGCAGGGGGCGGGTAGAACTGGTGTTAGAATGTGCACTTTATGCTATATTATCTTCTTTACAACATAGCTTAATCCTTTACAACAAATTTTATTTATTCTCCCCACATTCTTTGAATGGGGACACTAAAGCTCCAAGAGGTTACATAGCAAGATTTAAGTCACACCCCTTAGGGAGTAACAGGGCAGTATTTGAACCCAAGTCCAGGGTCAGAGCCTATGCCCATTGTGTTTCTGCAAAGGGACAGAGAAGGGTTTTAAGGCCCTGATTTGAGGATGGCGGAGAGTGTTCAAGGGAGTCAGGAGACAACAGGAGAAAAGCAGCCACACACTGGGCAAAGAAAGCTTAAGTCCTGTTTCTAATTCAGCCAAGTGTCATTTTATGAACCCAGCCAGTCATCTGACTTTTGTTCAAATCCATCTCCTTTCTCATGAAATGGAAACAGTATGAAGTGCCCTGCTTGTGTTTGGCTGGGGTAAGAATTCAATGAGAAAAAGGATGATGACATCATGGATTAGAAACTCAGCTTGCTCAGTCCAGCTGTCTTCAAGAAATCAGGTGTTAGAATCCAGTGACTCTGCTTTCTAGTCCATTAATCATGTTCTCCTAAGCCCAGAACACAATTAATGGATTTCAACAGATGGGCCTCTAAAATATGTATAGAATAGGATACAGAACATTGTTAACATTTAAAACAGCTGTGACTGATGGGAACCAAATCAGTTTCAGATGCTAATGAGTTCAAACAGGAGATGCTCCAAATTTATTGAACAACCAGAAAACTCTGGCCTTCAACCATATTTAACTATAACACAGAAAGATAGGTATTAGTTCAGGCTCTGCTTCTGGCCATGTAAATTTACCCACAGGCCCCAAGACTGTATAGGGGGAACTTCGGAGTCATCGCTTTTACTCTTTGCCATCTTTGCCTCTTTATTAACTCCTCACCCGCATCTCCAGAGGCAGGCACCCTGCCCCCAGAGCTTCTCCCCAGTTCCATCAGTGTGCACAGACTGGGCGGCCTCAACATCAGCACTGTGTTGTCTCACAGTTCTGGAGGCTAGAAGCCTGAGGTCAGGTGTCGGCAGGTTTGGTTTATCCTGAGGCCTCTATCCCCTTGGCCTGCAGGGGGCAGCCTTCTGGCCATGGCCTCACATGGCCTTTACTCTGTACGTGTCTTCCTGGTTTCTCTCCATGGGCCCAAATTTTCTCTTCTTATAAGCACACCATTCCGTTTGGATTAAGGCCCACCCTAGCAGCCTCCTTTTAATTTAATCACCTCTTTAAAGTTCCTATTTCCAAATATAGTCATATTCTGAGGTACTGGGGGTTTAGGGCTTCAACGTATGAATTGGGTGGTGGCGCAGCTCAACCCATAACAGCAGCCCTCCACACTCTCCTGCTCCCAGGAGGTATGGTCCTGGCTCTGGGAGGAACCCCCTTTTCCTTCCCAGAAGGGCCGCTCTCTTCCAGCTGTGCCCTCTCCCTTCCCATCTGCCCTGGCTGCAGGTGGGCAGGGGCTTCATGGCTCAGTCCATGCTGAGGGTTCTGTACCCCATCTGGTGCCCACTCCTGAGGGGTCTGGGAGTGCCCAGGGGCATTTGCCTACTAGTGTCTCTGGGCTCTTTCTCTCACCTAGTCCTAGTCTTCTGCTCTCACATCTGGATTCTTCTCTCTCACTGTGGAAGAAACCTTAGCTTGACATTTCCTCTTTTGTCACCCTGTCTCTCTGTGTCCGTCTCATCTCGGGAATTCTTGATGGATTAGTTGACTCACTACCTGTTTTCTTGAGAATCTCCTCTAGAGCAACTTCTGACCCCATGTCCTGCCCTCTCAAACTGAAGGTGGTGGTGCATCTCCTGCCCACGCATCACCCGATGTTGGTCGTACCTTCTTGGTGCCCTTCGTCCTCCATCGTGGGTCACAGGGACAGTCCCTCCATAGCCCATCTGCCTCATGCCAGCTCCTTACTAGTGGCATCACCTCGGATAAGATCCTGACCCTTTTTCACCTTTCACTGTACTTTTCCCCCAAAGAACTGACCCATCCTCACAGTTCCCATTAATGATTGCATGTTTGATCCCACCAACTCTTTCTAGAATTCCGATCCTGGACTTCTAGCCTATATACTGCTTAAACCCTTTTATCAACCACATTCTCTTAGACCAAGCCAAACTCCTCATCTTTCACTCCCAAATTCCATATTGCATCAATAAAATTTTTCCCATTTATTCAAGCAAGAAATCCCTGAGGAATCTTTGTTCCTGTCTCTTGTTTAGCCCTTAAAATCTTTTAAATTTTCTTCCATCTCATATTTGTATTTTATTTTCTGCAGCCTTTACCAAGGCCAGACCTGGATCAGTTTCTTCTAAGAGTATGGCAATAGCCTCCTAATTGGATTTTCTCATGCCCTGGAATTGGAAGGACCTCCAGAGGTCCTCTAGACTAGCTGGACTCTTGTTTGAGTCAGGATTCCCTGTTACTCAGAACAAAGACCTAACTCGCACATTCATTCTAGACTAGAACTGTCCAATAGAATTTTTCTGTGATGATTGCAATGCTCTCTATCTGCACAATAGAAGCCACTAACCGTGTATAGCTATGAGCACTTGAAATGTGGCGAGTGTGACTGAGGGGCAGAATTTTTCTATCTTCTTAAATTGTCCCACCATCTTCATGCCACTGCTCTTTGAAACCAGCCCTGTGCTCCAGCCACCTCCCACCAAACATCATCCTGCTGATCTTCCACCAAACATCATAAACATGGCTCTCTACTCTGAGACACTCTGTTCCTAATCAATGGGACTCTTCTCTTCAAGTCAGATCATCACAAGGGACTTCCCTGGCAGTCCAATGGCTAAGACTGCTTCCACTGTAGGGGGCAAGGGATTGATCCCTGGTAGGAGAACTAAGGTCCTGCATGTCACACAGTCTAGTTAAATGAATAAGATTATGCCTGGAAATGTCAGCTAACAACAAATATGCTACCATGAAGAAAAAAAAAATTTTTTTTTAAGATTATCTTTCAGGTCCACTCTGTTTTGTGTCTCACCTTCCAGCCATCTCCTCACCAGATGCTGCTCTCTCTTTCTCCCTCATTTGAACAACTACATCATGTTGATGGGATAAAACATTGTTTAACTTTCTGTTTAACTTTTACTTTGAAATTTCAGAACTAGAGAAAAGTTGTACTACTTAGTACAAATAATCCTTGTAGACCCTTCACTCACATTCTCCAAATACTGATGTTTTATCATGTTTGCTTTATCATATATTCTCTTTCCTTCTCTGTTTTCCACTTCTCTTTCCTTCTACCTCTTCACAAACATATACACATATACATACATACACATTGTTTTTTATGAGCAGTTTGAAAGTAAGTTTCACATATGGTATCCTCCACACCTATATACTTCAGTATATTCTTCTTAAAAATAAGGACAATATCTTATAAAACCACAGCTATTTGATGTAGAGTGGTTCGGGAGGATCTCATTGATTAAGCAACTCTTTCCCATTTTTCATATTAAGGTATACTTTTATACACAATAAAATTCACCTGTTCTATTGCACAGCTCTTGACAAATGTTTATAGTCTTGTAACTACAACCATGACCAAGATATGGCTCTACACCTTAAAACACGTCCTTGTGCCCCTCAGTAGTCAACCCCTCCTACACCCACCTTTTCTCTGTCCCTATAGTTTTGCCTTTTCTAAAATGGCCTACAAACAGAATTATACAGTACATAGCCTTTCTCTTCTCTTAGTGGAAGAGAAGGATGAATCATTGAGATTCATCATGTTGTGTGTATCAGAAGTTTGTTCCTTTTTGTTGGTGAGTGAGTGGTATTTCCTCATATGGATGTACCACATTCATCCATTCTCCAATTGAAGGGCAACTGGATAACTTCTAGTTTTGGACAATCACAAATAAACCCACTACAAACATTCATATACAGATGTTTGTGTGAATGCAGGTTTTCACTTGGATAAGTAGGTTAGATAACTTTTGAACAAAGACCTGAAAGAAATATGAAAACAAGCCATGAAGATAGTTGAGAATATCTTTGCATGATCACCATATTACTATTATCACTTAGACCAGTGAATAGTTTTGTGCTGCAAAACTGGTCTGTTTGGGTCATTTTTCTTATGTGAGTTATTTGGAGAGTGTAGCCTTAAGAATGGAGGGGACCATTGATTGGTTCATTCATTTGTTCATTCACTCACTGATCCATTCAACAAATGTTAAATAAATAAAAGCCACCAATCCATAGTCTGTTACAAAAAGGAAGGCTGAGACCCTTGGATCCACACCAAGGACTAAATTTAGCCAGTTTATCTGACATAATTTCCTTTATGAGTTTCCTGAAAGTTAGAGTAAGAGAAGAGTTAGTGAGTTTGGGGTTATCCTCACTGAAATGGAGAATGGACACTTAAGCATTTTTGAAGTGTTTATCTCTATGGAGGTTCCAGGGATCCCTCCAGAGGCCCCCCAAGAAGGGATATTCATTTGCTTGTGAGGTTGTCCATGTGAGTCTGCAAGGTCTCGAAAGGCATATTCAAGTGAGGGCTTTGTCTGGATGAGGGGCCAGAGGGTAAGACGGCGCCCTTCCAGGACTTAGGAGCCTTGTGAAAACACAGAAAATAACCTGTAAATGTCTTTTTTTTCAGGTGATGCAACTGTGAAAAAGAAGCCTGCCCCCAAGACACCTCCGAAGGCAGGTAATTGGTCGCAGCAGCATTTAGGGACAAGGGAGTCATCTGCCGTGAGGGGTTTTCCCTTTGCTCTGCTAGACTGATCACTGGGGCTGTGTGTCCCCCCAACCCTGGATTCAAGCTCTGTAGTAGTTAGGCTGAATTTTCCCTGAGTTTCTGCAAGTCTGGGTCCTCCACCCTCTTCACTACTTGCCTTTTCTCCTTCTCTCCTGGCATAAAGCCTGCTCACCCCTCTGTCCTCCAGTATGCCCTTGTGGAAATGATCCACTTTGTGCTGTTCTCATGGTCTGCTCTGTAGGTCCCTGTCATAGGAAGCACTGTCTGTTTTCCATGGAAAGACATTTGAGGATGTGAACCAGTTTGAGCCTGTTAGCCAGAGTGACCTGGATGTTAGATGGCAAGGCACTACATAGTTAAGAAAGGAGTCAAGATATAAGATTCAAAAACTTAGGGGAAATCACAAATACCAGAGCAACCAAGCAGCAGAGAGTCATGCCATATCGGTCACTTCTGTTGGAATCAGGATCAAGAGATCAACAGAACTAGCAGGTCCATCAACCTAAGTATGTGGAGCAGAGGTCACTGCCCTCAGTCTCACCCTTAAGGCTCCGGAAGGTGAGAGAGGAGCCACAGACCAACGTGACCAGAAGCGTCAGATGGTATCAGAATGTTTGAGGCTCCTTCCTTCTCAAGCTCACTCTCCCTCTTGTCCTCCCCCAGCCATGCCGCCTCAGATCATCCAGTTTCCTGAGGACCAGAAGGTGCGAGCAGGAGAGTCTGTGGAGCTGTTTGGTAAGGTGACCGGCACCCAGCCCATCACCTGCACCTGGATGAAGTTCCGAAAGCAGGTTAGTCCTGGAGAACAGTGGTCCAAGGATAACCCGCACAACTTCCAGAGCAACTCTGGGCCAGAGGGAATGAGAAACGCTGTGATGCAGGCAGCATCACTGTTCATCAAGGGGGCCTTAGACATGGGAGAGCCCCTCACCACCATCACCCACCTACCAAATTTGAGCTCTTAATAACCTTTTCTTCAGCACCTGGCAAGAATGCCTGTTTTATAGACAATTTGTGTGATAGAGTATGAAGGACATAATAGAACAAACCACCCATGGCTCCCACCTGATTTTGATATCTCTGCCTAGAATTCTACTCGGAGTCAGGAAAATCAAACCAGTGACCTGAATGATCTCTCAGACCCTGGAGCTTTCTGTGATTCTGTGCCAGCTTACTGAGCCCTATCTGTGGCAACCACTTAGACTTACCATGTGCTGGAGAGATAAAAGTGCATCTGGGTATTTGAGTAGATGACTTGTACGTTAAACAGAATTTTGGCTTCCTGACCCAGAAATCTAACTATCATTTCTAAGAACAGTCTTATGGGAAAATGTTTAAATTTCCAAATAACTGGTTCCTTTTAACGGAGCTTGGGGAGCTTATCCATTCCTCCAGTCCCGCACTGGCAATGTGTACCCACATGCCTGATCAGCAGAGACCCTAGAATGGCAGGCTGGCCCTGGGTCAGGAACTCCACAGAAGGTGTGATGACTTCTTGAAGCCTCTGTTGCTCCATTCCTAACCCATTCAAACTGTCCTAAGGCCCAGAGGTGGGAGGCTTGTACTGGGGAGGAAAGAAGGATTGTTCTCAAAAGACAAGAAGAGAAGCTGGCCTTCTCCCAAAGCGTGTTTGCTTGGGTTTTGTCTGGGTTAGTGATGTCTGAAGTGAGATGCAAATCTCAACCCTCTTCAGAGACATTTAGCCGAGTCCCAGCTCCATCCAACAGAACTTTCTGTAGTGATGTAATTGTTCTGTATCTGTTATCCAGTGTGGTAGCCACTAAATTCATGTGGCTATTGAGCTTGTGAAATGTGACTACTGCAATTGAGAAACTGAATTTTACATTTCAGTTAGTTAAAAATGGTTATAACAGTTTTGTAGAGATAGAATTCACACATCAGGAAATTCACCCTTTTAAAGTGTACATATATTCACAAGGTTGTGAAACTATAACAATTTTCTAATTCCAGAACACTTTTATCATCTCAAAAGGAAAGCCCAGATCCATTAGCAGTCATTTCTTCCCTTCTCCCAGACTCTTGTGACCCTAACCTATTTTCTGTCTCTAAGGATTTGCCTACTCTGGGCATTTCTCATAAATGGAATCATATGTGTTCTTTTGTGTCTGGGTTTTTTTTTTTTTAACTTAGCATAATATTTTCAGGGCATATCCATACTGTAACATGAACCAGTACTCCATCCATTTTTATGGCCAAATAATATTCCATTATCTGGATGTACCATGTTTTATTTGTTCATTCATTAATGGACATTTGGGTTATTTTCCATTCAACTAAAGTTTGAGTAGCCACATGTGATCGGTACTGGTATTTGACAGCACAGAGGAGATCAGAACCCTCTGGGTGGGCTTTGTATGTGACTTTGATCAAATGTATTCTCCCACCCTCCCATCCCAGAGCAGTGGAGCGGGCTGGGATGGTCCTCGTTTCCAGTCTAGCACAGTGAGTGAAGACATGGCTTATTCACAACCCCCAGACCCTGCTCAGAACCCTTCCTTCCTGCCCAGATCTGGGCCCCATCAGAGCAGCTTGACTGTGAATGCAGGAGAAGGGGCCCTGAGCGGGAAGTCCAGGGTGCAGACAAGACCAGCCCCACACCACTACCCAGCTGCATCCCTTAGGGGGTGTGGGGCGTGGCTTGGAGCCACCTTCCTTTCTGGCTTAAGTCTCCAGCTCCTGGCCCACTCTCTGCCCCCAGATCCAGGACAGTGAGCACATCAAGGTGGAGAACAGCGAGCAGGGCAGCAAGCTCACCATCCGGGCGGCGCGCCAGGAGCACTGTGGCTGCTACACCCTGCTGGTGGAGAACAAACTGGGCAGCAGGCAGGCCCAGGTCAACCTCACTGTGGTGGGTGAGTCTGGGGATGGGCGTGCAGAAGGCAGGGTGGTGGGCTTCCAGGCCTCACCTTTGGGGTACTCCCCCAGCATATGTGTTCCCTCTGCCCACGGCCTTCCTTTCTCTCCCTGTTCTCACACTGTAGCTGCCCTTCCTGCTTGTTGAAAATCCCAGACCTTGCACATATAGTGTTTTCCTTTTTCTGTGAATCTCCTCAGGCTTCCCTCTCTCGCCTTTGGAGACCCCGAGTTCCACCACCACAGCTCTCCATAGCTAGCCCCTGTGACACCCTGTCCCCCTGGTCCTGTCCCCTCCCAGTCCCCTGGCAGACCCTCACCTTGAATCAGTGCTTTCTTTCAACTTCATTGCCACTCTGCCTGAGCCCATGGTGCAGCAGGGAGATGTCATCAGCTCACAGCCTCAGCCCTGGGCTCTGTCAACATCCAGGCTCAGTGGAGGCATTGGTACTGGTCAGCTCTGTCTCCCACTTCCTGTGATAGCCATTCCTCAATACCCTTTACCCTGCAGGCCTTGGCCTCTGGCCTCTCCAAGACATAGGAGGCATGAGACATGAACTTGCTCAGCTTCGTGGCCCCACACCTGCAAGCGTCTCTCTGTCCCCATGTTGATTCCACCCTCCAGACTCTGGGTGTTGCCCACCTTTCTCCTGTGCTCCAGATCACAGGCTCCTGAGGGCTACGAGCCCCCAAGCCCCATAAGTCCCCAACCCTTCTTTTTTGCAGCTTCTCTTTTTCTCCTATAAATGTTGCCAAGTCTCCCCCATCATCTTCCCCGTGCACACAGGCACAACTCTTGCAGTATCTCGTCTCACTATGGCCACCCTAGTGTCTTTCTCCTGCTCTCTCTCCATAGCCAAGCCCTCTGAGAGAGCCAGTCTCTAGTCTGCTTCTTTGCCTCACTGGCAACACTCTTTAGCTCCCTGTAGCCTGCCCCCCAGGCTCCATTCGTCTGCTGGGACTGCCTTTCTGAGATCACTGTGCCCTCCTAATCCCTAGTCCACTCCCTTTTTCATGTCTTCTGTATCACAGGACTGAGTTCAGAGTCTGTCTCCAGGCTCACTTTTCCCTCTCCACCTCAATCACTATGCTTTTCATGCTCGGGTCTACTCTCTCCTGAAATATCAAGCAAGCTTCCTAACTGCCTTCCTGCTGTCAGTCGTGTTCAGCCTGCTGTCCCCTCATGTGGCAGGCATTCAGGACCTTGAAGGAGCAGCAGATGGACAACAGGCTGGTCCCAGTGCACTTGTGGGCCTTCATGTGTGGTGCACATGAAAGCCTTTCACCTGGCATTCATTGATTCGATCCTCTTTGTGTTTAGTTTCCTTGTGCGTGCATGTGTGCGTGCTCAGTCGCTCAGTGGTGTCCGACTCTTTATGACCCCATGGACTGTAGCCTGCCAGGCTTCTCTGTCCACGGGATTCTCCAGGCAAGAATACTGGAGTGGGTTGCCATGCCCTCCTCCAGGGGATCTTCCTGGCCCAGAGATCGAACCCACATCTCCTGCATTGCAGGCAGATTCTTTACTGCTGAACCACTGGAGAAACCCTTGGTTTCCTTAGGGCAGGAGTTTTCCCCCTGGGAATGCCAGTGGTCCAAGGCCTCAGGGAACAGTTCTCCTCTGTAGAAGGCAGCAGGGACCCTTGTCCCCCTCACTGTCTCTTTGGCGACTCCAGATGCTTATTCTAATCCGTTCCTCCCGGAGTCAGGAACACTCTGGGGGGTGGGCAGTTGGTACTAGTGGTCCAGTTCATCTTTACTCTTAAATCTGTACCTGAAGTATCAATTTGGCCCTATGCCCCACCCATCAGCAGGCAGTGGTTTCCAGTTTTCTTTGGTGTTCTCTCTGACCTGCCCTTGCTGGGGGAACTTTAGGGTCAACTCCTTGGAACTGCTCTTCTGCAGCCGGTGCCCCCGGCCCTCACGCTCCGCACAGTGCCACCAGCTCCCCTCCCCCATCACCACCGCCCGGCCTTCAGTTGTGGCCTTTTATGGTTTAGTTTCTCATTCTCCTCGGCCAGCGCTGACAGGGCCATTGGCGTGGCTGCCCGCCAGCTGGCAGGAGCAGCATGTTAAATGCCGTCCTGGGAGGGGAATGGAATGGAGGGGAAGGGCTTTCTGTCTGCCTCCCCCTTGGAGAGCTAAGAATAGAATTGCTCAATAAAATGAGGACTTGCATTGATGGATACAGCAAATCCGCATTCATTCAGAGTCTGTGGATTTAGACTCAGTCCAAAGTAAACCTGGATTAAGCCCAGATATACCTGCCTGTCTCTAGGGACATTTGTGTATTATATGATCAGGGTTGATTAAGTAGATCTAAAATGTAAATGAGATGAAACAGAGATTGTTTGGCCTACTCTGGACTGTTTCAAGCACTTTGGATGCATCCATTTGTAAGCCCACTGAATAAGGCTGATTTAGCACAATTTCTACAGCTGCTGCTGCTGCTAAGTCACTTCAGTCGTGTCTGACTCTGTGCGACCCCATAGACGGCAGCCCACCAGGCTCCTCTGTCCCTGGGATTCTACTAGTTAGCAGTAAACTTCTCTTTTGTATGTTCTTTAAAATACCCCATTATTTTCAGAGAGTTTATGACTCCTAGAATTAAAAATCATAAACTATCTGAAAAGAAAGGAGTACTGTAAAGAATATACAAGAAGAGAAGTTTACCGCTAACTTTATGACTCCTATCTTTTTTTTTTTTTAAAGAAAGGGGGGGTTTCCCAGGTTGCTCAGTGGTAAAGAATCTGCCTGCCAGTTCAGGAGACCCGAGAGACGTGGATTTGATCCCTGGGTTGGGAAGATCCCCTGGAGGAGGAAATGGCAACCCACTCCAGTAATTTTGCTTGGGAAATCCTATGGGCAGAGGAGCCTGGTGGGTTATATTCCATGGGATCAAAAGAGTTGGACACAACTGAGTGACTGAGCACACAGCACACAGTTTTAAAAATGATGATAAAAATTAGCCTTTGCCTCAGTTACTTTAAAAGAGTGATGTTTAGCTATTTTGAAGGCTTATTATTATTATTATTATATGTTAAAGGACAGATAATGGATGACAGGGAAGCCTGGCGGGCTACAGTTCAGGGGTTGCAAAGAGTCCGACACAACTTAGCAACTGAACAACAACCAAAACAAAGGGCAGTGCAAGGATGTATGAGGCTCAAAGGGCCTCTGCCAATGCCTGGGTCTCCAGCCTCAGCCTGGGAAGGGTGAGGGAGGGGCTGCTCAGGCAGGAGAGAGCAGCTTGCCCCAGATGGAGTCCTTCATGTGACTAGTCCAGCACAAGACAAACAGACCACTCTGCAGATCTTTAAAGGAGAAGAATGCAGCAGAGAAAATCCCAGGTACCCAATAACCCCCCAGGGCTATCTGAGCTGGGAACTTGCATGATTTTTAAGGACAGATGATTTCACTTCATAATGCTTGGCTTGAGCAAGATGCTTTCTTGATCTTATGTGGCCTGATAGCCTAGAAGAAAACAGGCCCCTGGAGTGAGGGTTTGGAGACCTTTAGAATTTCCTTTTGGCTCTGCCACTGGCCAGCTGGGTGTTCTTGGTAAGCACAGCACCTTGCCTAACCCCAGAGGGCCAGGATTACCCAGGTGCACAACCTGGGGGCCCTCACAGCCCTGCCAAAGTTTAAAAGCTGCAGGTGCATGTGAAGGGAGGTCAGGGTGGGGTTAGATCCAGTCACAGGCCATCTTCAAATGCACAGGTGCATAGAGATTGTCAGCATAGTAAAGCATTAGAGATGAGATCCTCCGATTTCCCAGGAGCGAGAACATTTACTGAATATTTTCTAATCCTGGAGCTATTGCCACCGAAGACCCTTCCCTTAGACTCAGCCTTTCCCATTCAGCTAGACCAGTGTCCAGGGAGTTATGAGAGAATCCCACAGAAGCTTGGAGCTTGGGGCCCCAGTCACTGAGCCCGCCTGGCCTTTGCCAAGCCATGCCCGGCCTCCCCCCAGACTGAGTTTTTCTGTGTCTTTGGCATGGAGGGGAGACTGTTCTAAGAACATCTGTTCTGTCCTGAGGGTTTTCATCCCCAGCTTGTCCAGCCTCTGTGTGGACTCTGTAGGTTGGAAAGAACAGAAGGCATCAGGCACAGCCCGTGGCTCTAAGGGCAGTTGTGGGTAAGGGGGCTTCCAATCTCCCATGACTTCAGACTTGCCTCTGTTCTGAAGCCCTTAATTTGGCATCAGGTTCCTTGAAAGCATTGAGGTTTCACTTGGAATTAAAGATGTTCTCTCCAGTTTTGCAGCTTCTCTTGTGCTTCAGGCCATGACATATGTCTGGTGCCTGTTTTTTTCTCTTTCAGCCAAGAGACGTTTGGAGCAGGGTGGGGGATTAATAGTACCTCTTCCAAAATAGCCATTTCTCAAAGTTTTCTCTTCTTCACTAAAGCAGGAGGGGAATATATCAGTCAGTAGAGTGTATCTGTATTTGTTGTCTCAAACTACAGGACACCAAACATGTCCAGTCAGAAGTTTTCCAGGCATATCCTCTAAAGGAGGCAAGGAGTCTGTCTTTCATCCTTCTTTAGGCCTTTTTACTTCTTTCGCTGGATCTTAGAGGACTTGAACCACTTGCCTGTAAGAGAGTTTAGAGTAATAAACCTCTTAGCCAACACTAGAAATATTTCTAGAAAGACCAATATATCTTTTAGAACAAACAGTTTTTCTAAGAGAACATGTTGAACAACCAGTGAAAGTGGTTCCATCACAAGAGGCCTCCAGAGTGACTGTCACCAGCCGGGAGTGGCTGTCACAGCCCCAGAGTCATTCCAGGGCGAGTCAACCCAGATTTGAGCTGCAGGGGATGAATGGCTTCCAGGCAGTGCACTCCTGGCTGGAATGAAGAAGCAGCAGGACTTGGAGGGGAGGGGATGAATATGTATGTGTATAGGTATGTATGGTATGTATGTGTATAGGTGTATGTGTATGCACACGTATGTGTATGTATGTGTTTATATGTATATGTATATACACACATACACACAGAGGATGTTTTTTTCTTCTCCTCCATATGCTTCGGTCATCTGCAGGAATTTTCTTTGGCCTTCCTACCTAGCTGAGGTGTAAGAAAGCAGGAATCAAGTACATTACCTGGGTTTGCTTTATTTGATGCTTGCAGAACCCTGGAGAGACTGATATATAACCCCACTTTCCAAATGACAAAAACAAGCAAAATAGTCTTGGAAGTTAAGGAATTAGCTAGAATTCACATAGCTTATAAATTCACAGAGCATAATACATGGCCTTTCTTGTTAGAGAACTCTAAAGTGCAGATTGTCTTAGAGGAGATGAAGGTTACTGAACATCTGTATCTGTAACTAAACCAACTACCTGCAGAGACTAAATCTGAAAAATAAGAGAATTCTGTTCAGATGTGCTTAATAATGCTTAGTTCCTTAGTTGTGTCCGACTCTTTGCGACCCCATGGACTTTAAACCACCAGGCTCCTCTGTCCATGGGATTTTTCAGGCAAGAATACTGGAGTGGGTTGATATTTCCTCCTCCAGGGTATCTTCAGACCCAGGAATCAAACCCGCATCTCCTATGTCTCCTGCATTGCAGGCAGAGATTAACAACTATCAAAAATCTCAAAACTCAAGAACCTCATTAATGAGCATACTGGCTGCTGTGATCTGCCTTGAAGTTGGCAGTGTTACTGGTTCTTAGCATTACTGGTCTGAAGAGGATGATGGACAACCCAAGGGACTGCTCCTAGTTTGTATCTTCAGCTCATTTTTCCGGCCCTTAAAGATGACTGTGATTTGCTACTGTGGTTTGCTTTGAAATTCTCTATCTCATTTTATACCCATCCTAGGAGGTCGGAGGGCTTCCCTGGTAGCTCAGTGGTAAAGAATCTGCCTGCGATGCAAGATACCAGGTTTGATCCCTGGGTCAGGAAGATCCCCTGGAGGAGGGCATGGCAACCCACTCCAGTATTCTTGCCTGGGGAATCCCATGGACAGAGGAGCCTAGTGGGCTACAGTCCATAGGGTCTCACAGAGTCAGACACAACTGAGTGACTAAGCAGCAGCAGCAGGAGGATGGAAGAGAGGGTAAGAGTAATGTTTTATAAAGTTAGAAATGAACTTCTGCAATAATGATGACAGTCAAGGCTACTCAAACAGGATGTTTTCCTAAGAATATCTCATGACAACCTTGTGATCCAGTGCTGTTATCATGTGCATTTTCAGAGGATGAAACTTAGCACAGAGGCTAAGAAGTAGTGAATGAAGGCAGAGCTGTATTCAAACCCTGTGTGTGGCTTCAGAGTTCACTGTGCTGTACTGACCCTCAGCAAGGCAGGCACTTCCCATGTCCCAGAGAAAGTAGAGACTGGCCCCTGGTTATGTCTGTGGTCACTGGCCTCAGGCCTGGAGGAGATACATGCACATACACACATTGAGCTCTCTTTCAAGACATATTTTTGATGGGAAGCAGTCCACACCTCCTGGGGAGCTTCCTAGATCTGTTTACACTGAGAAATATGTTTATGACTTGGGCAAAGCACAGGAAATCATGACGTGTAGACTAGAAACTAGCCAAAAAAGACAGTATATTCAAGAAAATAGTATATGTATTTGTGGGGCTTCCCACGTAGACAGGTGTTTGCATAGGTGTGACTGTGCAGATGAGGGAAAGAGAGCCGGGATCAGGGACCACAGCTGCTTCTCCCTCGTTGTTGTTCAGTTGCTCAGCTGTGTTCAACTCTTTGCAACCCAGTGGATGCCAGGCTTCCCTGTCCTTCACCATCTCCTGGAGCCTGCTCAAACTCATATCCACTGAGTCAGTGATGCCATCCAACCATCTCATCCTCTGTCTCCCCGCTTCTCTTCCTGCCTTCAATCTTTCCCAGCATCAGGATCTTTTCCAATGAGTCAGCTCTTTGAATCAGGTGGTCAGAGTATTGGAGCTTCAGCTTCAGCATCAGTCCTTCCAATGAATATTCAGGACTGATTCCTCTGAGATTGACTGGTTTGATCTCCTTGTTGTCCAAGGGACTCTCAAGTGTCTTCTCCAGCCCCACAGTTCGAAAGCATCAATTCTTCGGCGTTTAGTCTTTTGTATGGTCCAACTCTTACATCTGTAAATGACTAGCTAATTAAAAAACCTTCTCTCCCTGAAATCATGCACAGTTGGGTGATGCTATCCTTCTGTTTCCCCAGACAAGCCAGACCCCCCAGCCGGCACGCCTTGTGCCTCTGACATCCGAAGTTCCTCACTGACCTTGTCCTGGTATGGCTCCTCGTATGATGGGGGCAGCGCCGTACAGTCATACAGTGTCGAGATCTGGGACTCAGTGGACAAGACGTGGAAGGAACTAGCCACATGCCGCAGCACTTCTTTCAACGTTCAAGACCTGCTGCCTGACCGAGAGTATAAATTCCGTGTGCGTGCAATCAATGTCTATGGAACCAGTGAGCCAAGCCAGGAGTCTGAACTCACAGCCTTGGGAGAGAAACCTGAAGAAGGTAAGCTGCCTTCCTTTCATCACTGGCTTGAGATAAATGTCCATGACTTACTTTGCGTGTGTAGAAGTCTATATGGAGATGGATACAGGGGAACTGACAAGACTTTTCTGGTGACTGTCAGGGTCTTTTGGGATCTTGCTTTCCAATGTTGTCATGCTGAGCCATATTCTAAAAGAGGTACCTGTGATCTTTCCAAAAAATATTGAACCAGCAATTTTGATACAGTGCGACCAGGGGGCGATGGTGTGTTAATCAGGAGTACAGTCCTAGAAAGCTGGAATTCAGGTAGACCTACATACAGTTTCAGCATCTTCCCCTACCATCTCTCTCCCTCCTTTCTTGCACTCTTGTTTGAGGGTCTACTCAGTGTCAGGTACCTGGGAAATCAAGACCACTAAGAGCAGAAGTTTAAAATCTAAGAAGGAGAACAGCTGTGGAGACTATAGTTAAGACCATCTTGAGATGGGCCACATCCTTTTGATATTACAGCGATAATTGTAGAGATACAGCAGAAAGCATGAATAGTTTTGCTATAAAGCTTGGGAAAGGCTTCCTACATGTAATACTTACACTGAGTCTTGGAGAAAGGAATAGGATTCCAAGAGGCAGGTCAGATAGAGAGAAGCATTCCTTGCAAGGGAAACAATGTGAGCAAAGGTACAAACTGGTAGAAACACATGTCATTTTGAGACTCTCATGTGTGGCCAGGAGAATATGCTGTGTGAGATAGAATAGGAGGAAGCAACTCAAAAAGGATAGTCTAGATAAAATTGTGAGTTATCAAAGGTTTTCAAGTAGGGGTTTGATATAGTTAGGTTTTTGGTTTTTTTTTTTAAGAGTTTGAGGAAGTGTAGACCTTTACAAGTCAAGGTGTGGTCTGGACCAAGAGTCTTGGGATCCTGGGAACTTGTTAGAGATGCAGATTCTCCACGAGCCCCACCCCCCACTTCCCTAATACATTTTGAACCTTCATTTTAACATCATCCACCCTCAGCCCCCCCGTGGATTCATATACACATGAAAGTTTGAGAAGCACTGGAGTGGATGGGGTGGGGGGTGAGGTTGAAGTCAGTAAGATACTGATTGGGCCTCTCTGTTGTATTCCAGGAAAGGATAGTAAGGGAACTTTAGGAGGTAGGATTGATCATTCCTAATGACTCATTGGAAAAGTCCCTGATGCTGGGAGGGATTGGGGGCAGGAGGAGAAGGGGACAACAGAGGATGAGATGGCTGGATGGCATCACCGACTCGATGGACATGAGTTTGAGTAAGCTCTGGGAGTTGGTGATGGACAGGGAGGCCTGGCGTGCTGCGATTCATGGGGTCGCAAAGAGTCGGACACGACTGAGCAACTGAACTGAACTGAATCACTTCTTGGGCAGGGAAAAGTTAGAAGAGTCTAAGATTACTCCCACATCCTGGCTTGTAACTAAACACAAATTCAGGAGCCATTTAGAGATTATTGTGTTTTATGGTGGCTAACATAGTTAACACTTGCTATTAATATATAGCCAGATTAAAGCATTTTCCATGCATTATTTCACACATCTAACTCAATGAAGTAGATACTATTATTACCCACCTTTTACAGATAGGGGTACTGAGGTTTAGAGGAATGAAGCTATTTGCCCGAGGTCACAAAGCTTGAAAAAGGTGTGCTGCAGCTTGAACTCAGAGCTGTCTGACCCTGAGCCTGAGTTCCTTTGGTTACACTGATGGAGGAGGTCAGGCTGCCTCTTAGTGACTTAGAAGTTAGATGGCAGGGAGTCCCGAGGAGGTGGAGGCTCTGGTTTTGAGGTGTGTGAGGGCTGTCCACAGGGAGGTGTCTTCAGACTGTTGAATGGTTGAGTCCAGAGCTCAGGAGAAAGGTTTAAGCTCCAGCTCTCTTCACTATCGAATTGGTCATTGAAGCCATGGGCATCAATGAGGGCAGAAAGAAAGTCAGCACTGACACGGAAATGAAGAAAACTGAATGACCCGGAGAAAGGACTAAGAGGGGGAAGAAGCAAGGGGCAGTTGCTGTGTTGCAGAAACACAGGAAGCAGCAAGTGGCAAAGGGGAAAGAGATGAGGACGTGGGAGGATGTCTGGGTTTAGCCCTTTGCTGTGCAGTCATCTTTGAGAGCAAAGTCCATAGCACTTCTGTGCATGCTCAGTCACTCAGTGGTGTCCAACTCTTTTGCAATCCCATGGACTGCAGCCCATCAGGTTCTCCTGTTCAAAGGCTTTTCCAGGAAAGAATACTGGAGTGGGTTGCCATTTCCTATTTCAGGGGATCTTTCCGACCCAGTGATGGAACCTGCACCTCCTGCATTGGCAGGCGGGTTCTTTACCGATGAGCCACCTGGGAAGCTTCCGTGGGGTAGAAAATGGTTGGCCTGCGGCTAAGGAATGAATGGAAGAAGGAGGCCTATGTGGAATGCCACTTCAAGAAGTGTCCTGTGAATAGAAGAAAACAAGTGCTGTGAATTTAAGATGGAGGCAAAGTTGGGTGCAGGAAGGAAAGGGGGAGGGAAAGCAAGCAAAAGGGCTCTAGGAGAGAATAAACTTGAAGATGTGAGGTAGAGAGGAGACTAAAGGACCAGCTCAACAGAGTACGGAGAAGGCAATGGCATCCCACTCCAGTACTCTTGCCTGGAAAATCCCATGGACGAAGGAGCCTGGTAGGCTGCAGTCCATGGGGTCGCGAAGAGTCAGACACCACTGAGCGACTTCACTTTCACTTTTCACTTTCATGCACTGGAGAAGGAAATGGCAACCCACTCCAGTGTTCTTGCCTGGAGAATCCCAGGGACGACGGATGTCGGGGTCGCACAGAGTTGGACATGACTAAAGTGACTTAGCAGCAGCAGCAGCTCAACAGAGTGAGAGCCTGAAGTCACCCTTATAGCCAGAGCCGTCGTAAGTGTGGAAACTGTCATGACAGGGTCACCGTCTTTGGTTTTAAATTTTAGGTTTAATATAGATATTAAACTTTACTCTCAAGTTAAACAAGGGCTCCAGAGAGAAAGTTTGGAGGATGCCAATGGAAAACACACCAAATTTACAATTTTGCCTGTGTGGTCCTGTCTTGGGGGCCTTTGCCCAGGCGAACCCTGGAGATACCTAGAGATCAGGCCTCCTTGAGAGCTACAGCATGCTAGGTGGAGCTGGGGGGAGACTATGGAGCCCAGGCCCAGGGCAGCCCTGCCAGCCTCTGCAGTTTCTCGGGGCTCCTGCCATTAGCTGCTCACAAATGCCTGCTGAGAGAAACAGAGTAGCACAACTGCCATCTGCTGCTGTGTGACACCCCTCTTTGATGTGAGCAGAGTGGGAGCAAACTGGTTAGAGTGGGGGTGCCAGGGCAGGTGGCCAGGTTCCAGTCTGCATGTTTTTAGAATATTACTTTGTCCAAAAAGACGACTCCCCACCTCTTGGAAAAGTGACAGAAAGGGGATAACATGGCAGTGAGACACACATTAGGTGGAAAGGAAAGCTTCCAAGGTCCTTTATAGCATACACCAGGAGAGACTGCAGAATCCTTGATGAGCCCCACACAGAGGGCCAGAGGCCACAGAAGCTGCAAGTATGGCTCTGAAGAGGCCTGGACAGCAGCTTTCAGGACTGGGAGGATGGTCTGTGGAGTGGAGGGCTGAGATCACTTGGCTCCAGGCAGGTGGCCCCTCCCTTCTTCCCCACAGTCAGTTGAAACCGCCCCCCTGCCCACTCCCCCACCCCCTCACCCCCTCGCAACACGTACACACACACTGTGGTTCTTAGATTCTCCTCCTGGGGTCCATCCTAGCTGGGAGCAGACAAATGTTGAAATGTTGAAATCACCTGCATACCAGAGGGGGTTCAGGCCACTCAGGGCTTCCAGGCTGGCAGCTCCCATCCTCAGAGCCAGCTGAATGGTCTCAGGGGGAGGAAGGGGAGGGGCAGAGCAGCACATCTTCTAAGGGACCGAGGGTGGGGGAATGGGAGGGTGAGAGTAAGGCTGTGGGACTTCCAAGTGAAGCTCTCTGTGGACTGTTCAGATGCCTGTTAGTTATAGCCAGGGTCGATTTTCTCTTTTTTAAAAGTGCCTTGGGTCTCAGTGTATGTGTGTGTGTGTGTGTGTGTGTGTACATGTACATGTGTAGAAGAAGGATGGGGTAAGTGATTATGGTAGGCCATTGCTGTGAGCCAGTGGGGTCTGATCATGGAGCCCTACTTACTCTAAGCCCCACTCACGTTGCCTCTCATCTTCCCCACAGCTACCACGGCCCCTCTTCCCTCCATTTCAGCAACTTTAGTCTTTGGCTTCATCCTGACCTCTCAGCTCCATCCCAGCCCTCACTCTGCATTCGCCCTTCACCTGTCCTGTTTCCCCAGCGCTGAGAGGGTGCTGGGGATACAGTGGAGGACACAGCACAGCATAGAGGCCCCCACCAGCTCCAGTGGCCTCCTTATGCCTGGGCCACCTCTCAGACAGGCTCCCGAACCTGACAGCTCTCCTCCTTGACTTCCCAAACCTGGCTAAACTAGCACCTCCCCTCCCCCCTACCCCGAAAACAGCCGCTGTCTCCCATCTCCCCCCAGGAATCTCCACTCCCACCCACTCCATCCCCCCCAGGAAGCTCCACTCAGCTCTGACTCCTAAATCCACATCATCCTTGCTCCTGATCCTAATTTGTTCTAGTCTGTATGCGTGCACGCATGCTCAGTCGCTGAGTTGTGCCTGACTCTTCGTGACCCCATGGACTGTACCCCACCAGGCTCCTCTGTCCATGGGATTTTTCAGGCAAGAACACTGGAGTGGGTTGCTTCCTCCTCCAGGGGATCTTCCTGACCCAGGGATCAAACCTCTGTCTCCTGACAGGCAGATTCTTTACCACCAAGCCACCTGGGAAGCCCTCTAGTCTGTGTAGTTGTTAGCAAACAGCTGTGATAGAGGCATCTTGCAGAGTAAGGGCTTCCTTGTGCCCCAAGGGTAATTAGAGAGGTAGAGCCCCCAGAAATGCAAGGAAGATCAGCAGCGCACCAGTGCAGGGGGTGGGGTGCTGACCACGGCCAACCTCCCGAAGATGGGGGCGCCCTCTAGTGTCCCCTGGGGGCACAGCAGCACCCCGCTGAGCAAAGGGACCACTCTGTCCAGGGAGCCCGCTCGGCACATGCCCTGTGAGGGCAGGAGCGCCATGCCGCTCCTCTCCCAAATGCCACTGCAGGGGGATGGGACTCATCTGACTGCAGAAATATCCCAGAAACATATTCCAAATAGTTCTTGCACTTAACTCTTGCATCTCACGGCTGTGAGATTTTTTGTTTTTTAATATTTCATTGAAGTTCTTCCAACTGCAATTTAGCTCCTTTCTCAGTGGAAAGATGGATGCCGAATGGCCACCTCTCTCATTACTGCCCCTTGATGCTCAGAGAGCTTGACTAACTGAACTGTGGTCTTTCCCCCGCTCCTCTGGGACTCTTCCTCATGTGACACTTCCCCCTGCAGAGGGGAGGCAGGACAAGAAGGAAGAGGAGGAAGGGAAATGTCTCAGCCTGGAGCCTCAGTCCACGTCCCACACAGAGGATGGGTTGCCATGGAGCAGTGAGACAGAGACAGAGGCATGGATTCCCTGAGACTGAGCTGTGTCCCTACAGCCATGGATCAGGAAGGCACTCTGCATCTTGACTTTTAAGGAGAAAGGCAGGAGGTGAGGGTAGGTGTGGTGTTTGAGGTGATGGCAGCTAACTCCACTTCTAACTAGTGTCAGAGAGAGATGGGGAGAGGCGAGTTCTAGAACTGCCTGCTATTTCAGGGCAACCTGGAAGATGCCTCTGGGGGACAGGTTGTTGGAAAGCCCCTAGAGGGCTCACAGTACTGCTGCTGCTCCTTCACTAGGGGAAGACAGACCATTTCTCCTGGAGATTCCGGGTCAAGAAAGCTTGCCTCTCTGTCCTATCCCATCCTGTTGCCGATTTCACACCAGCATGTGTGATGTGGGGACTGAAAGGTCGAGAGAGGTCAAACCACTGTCTCATTTGGGGCCTCCTGACGATGCCCCATCAGGACAATGGAGTTCCCTGACACTAAATGTAGTTATTATCATTAATATTTTGTCTCTAAGTCCCTGTCCAGTAACTGGCATCCACGGGTGCTTTGTTAGTGATTGAATGGATGTTGAATCTCGTGCTATCTTAAAGTCCTGTTTGAAATACCATTGTTGAACTCAGCAGAACATTTCTTGAACCTGTTTATTTTTCTTATGGTAACTCTTGAGATGTGATTTCCATATGCCTACAGCCTTCCTCCTATATGGGATGTAACACTAAGTTTTTCTCCCAAGTTATAATATTCATTAGTTGGTGAAAGTTCATAACCCTAACCTTACCCTTACTATTACTTACCCTAACCTTACTATTGTGATTTTTTTTTTAATCACGTCTGTTTTAGGCTCCTTTCCCAACTAGAGAGGCCTAACCCTTTCTGACTGTCTTCACATGGCAGCTCTTCCTGTCAATGACCCATACTTCTTCCAGCTCCATCAGGACTGCCTAACAGACAGCGTTCCAGGATCATATGACCCCAGGTTCTACCAAGGGCAGAATAATGATACCTATTTGCAGCCAGAGCACATTTCCCCAGTGACAGCATTCTGTTGGCCAGAGCAATTGGTTGAGGAACTGGGCTCCCATTTTTGGTTCTAACTAGATTCCCTAGTGGGCTTCGCTGGTGGCTCAGAAGTTAAAGCGTCTGCCTGGAATGCAAGAGACCTGGGTTCGATCCCTGAGTTGGGAAGATCCCCTGGAGAAGGAAATGGCAACCCACTCCAGTACTCTTGCCTGGAGAATCCCATGGAGGGAGGAGCCTGGTAGGCTACAGTCCTTGGGGTTGCGAAGAGTCGGACACGACTGAGTGACTTCACTCACTCACTCACTCAGATACCCTAGGACTTGTCAGGCTGACAGTTTGAATGATTCAATTCTCCCTGACAATGTGACTCCATTACTACCTTCCAGGTGTGTTGCTCTCACGTACATTCTGGTTGAATTTGACAGTGTCACTCTCAACTCTCAAATCTGTGATTTGATTTGATCAATTATACTCACATCCTGAGAATTTCTGTGAACCCCACCACTAATCTGAGAGTCCCCATTGATCTTGTTGTTTTTTTATTTTTCCCTGGCATTTTCCTTTATGTAATAAATATTGCTTCCAATCCCACTTTTGTTTGGTTTTTAAAACTAAACCTCACCCATAGTGTTTTCAGAACTCTAAACAAATCATAGCCTCTCTTGTTCCTGCTCATGTGCTTATAATCTCTTTCAAGACTCTTTTCTAGTAAGGGGTCCTTATCTGGTATGGGAACTGTGTGGCTTTTCTCAGGTTGTCTGCTTAGATTTCAGTAATTTGTTCTGCCCTCAGCTGAACAGAGGGGCTCACTGTCTACAGTTCTGAGCTGCACCTTGTCCCTGACCCACACCTTCATCCCATTTGTGAAGCTGAGCCCACTTCCATACAGCCCCTCCCTGCTGGGCAGCATCTAACAAACCCCTCCACCCCATCTGCTCTGGTCTTCCTTCTACCTGCCGTCCACTTCCTATCCTCAGTCTTGCTCTGCTGGGACCTTCAGCAAATCATACCCTTTTCCCTCATCTTGTGCATACACACACACACACACACACACTCTAGAAATCTTTGTCCTCCTTCTCTGGCTTCGCCAGGTCCTTCCACATCTTCTGGAAACCTCCCTTGGCTCCCGCTGTCAAGGACACAGTCCACATTATGGCCAAGTGGCACCTAGAACATCAAAAAGCATGGACTCCAGGGCTAGCCAGGGACCCTAGAAATCACCCAGAAATACAGTGCTTTCCTTTTACAGATGAGGAAACTGTATCCCAGGAAGCAAAAGGTACTTGGCCATGGTCAAGAAGCTGCAATGGCCCTTTAGGAACAAATTATACTAAAGCAAAGGAAAACCAGGACCTCGGGACTGGGTGTGTTCCTCTGGACACTCATGTCTCTCTGCCCACCCTGACACAGTTGTATGAACGGCCAGCATGGGCTGCACACGTGCCTCCTTATTGGCTTCCTGCATGACATTACCCTTCTCACTGTATTCCATTATTTCCTCTAAGACACAGCTCAGTGGCTCCTTCTTCCCAGATTGATTGCTCTGACTTTATACTTACCCGACTCGGGTCACTTTCCTCCATTGTCTACTCGGTTTGTGTGGCAATAACATGTGCTTCACCATATAACACTCATAATGGATATTTCAAGTATATGTATATTTGCCTCTCCAACTAAATTATAAGCTCCAAGAAATCACACCATAATGGAGAGATCACACCATCTGCATTTTGCTTTGTATACCCACAATCACTGGCAAGATATCTGGTACATGGCTGGAATTCCAGAAGAAGCTCAGTAAATGGATAAATAGATTTGATACTAGTAGCAACTATAAGAGGAGAAGGCAATGGAACCCCACTCCAGTATTCTTGCCTGGAAAATCCCATGGACGGAGGAGCCTGGTAGGCTGCAGTCCATGGGGTCACTCAGAGTCGGACACAACTGAGCGACTTCGTTTTCACTTTTCACCTTCATGCATTGGAGAAGGAAATGGCAACCCACTCCAGTGTTCTTGCCTGGAGAATCCCAGGGATGGGGGAGACTGGTGGGCTACTGTCTATGGGGTCGCACAGAGTCGGACACGACTAAAGCGACTTAGCAGCAGCAGCAACTCTTAAGTTGCTGACTTTTGAGGGAGAGTAGAAAGGGACTCTCTGGGTTGTCTGTAGGTTCTAGAAACTAGAAAAATGTGAAGACGGACATGTCTAGGAGACCTTGAGGATAGAGAGATGGGGTTGGAGGAAGGGCTGGGGGAGGAGAGGCTGGGTGGGGTAAGGAGGCCAGAGCCTGCCAGTGTATATGTGGCCCTGTTGCAGTGTGGAGCCTCTCATCCCATGGTGATGCCCAGAGCTTTGGGCTTTGAGTCTCGTGCTTGGGAAGGCTGAAGCCAGACAGGGCCCCCAGCTTGCTTAGCTCTCGGGGCCTTCAGTACTAATCACCTGTATCCTCTCTGCCCCCAGAGCCGAAGGACGAAGTGGAGGTGTCAGATGATGGTGAGTGCTGGGCCCTGTCCTTGAGTAGACTCGAGGGGTGGATGGGGGTGAGGAGGGATCTGATGGCTCACACTCACCCCGCCCCAACCCTGCAGATGAGAAGGAGCCTGAGGTCGACTACCGGACCGTCACGGTCAATACCGAGCAGAAAGTGTCCGACTTCTACGACATCGAAGAGAGACTAGGATCGTAAGTGGAGTGGGAAGTGGAGTGGGTCCCCTTCTGGACCCCAGAGTGAGGATGGCGCTGGCCCCGAGGTTATATTCCATGCCTCCTCTTCCTGTCCTTCCCTGGGTTCTGCCAACTCCCCAGACTGAGGTTCTGGGAAGACTTGACCTGCGAGCACCCACAAAAGCATTGCCTGCCCAGGGCTCTCTTAGGAGCTGCTGTGCCCAGGGCTCAACTCCGCAAGCTTGAGCAGGTCTTTCCTTCTCTGCACGCCTGCCCCCATCCCTCCCCCAGGACATAACCCAGGGCAGCCGGGCTGGCTTGGCCTGTCTTTAGGATCCCTTCCCTTGGATCTGTGCTCCCACTCAACCGGTCTAGCTTTAGTGCTGTAGCAAAATATGCCCGCTTGATATACAGCTCCCATCATCACCCCTCACTTTGTGAGCTCGGTCCACAGTCTTTGCTCAGGCTCTTTCCTGGGCTGTGGAGACACCAATGGACTCAGACCCCAACACTGAGGCCTAGGCACAGCCAGGCTGTCCCCGCCAGCAGAAGCAGCATCCAGGGCCTCCTGCCTCCCTCTGACCATCTGTCCTTGGAGGAGGATGGAAGGTGGAAGAAAAAAGAATGGGGCTCAGCTTTTATTTCTGGAGGGTTTCTGGCAAATAAAGGAGTGCCATCAACCTCATAAGAGTCCCAAACAAGGACCCTGTGCTGTGGCAGGAGTGGGGTCAGAAGAGTGCCACCACCCATCACCCTTGCTAGGCTGTCTCCATGGCCCTGGTGCTGAAAGTGTGTGGAGGGAAGGCAGTCGTCCAGAAATTCTCTGTATTTGGGGAGGACTTCCTCAACCTGATGTCATGGATCCCTTTGGGGGGAAAGGAGAAAAAGTCTGTTGCTAAGATTGAGGCCTCAGCCCAAGGAGATAACAGTCCTAAAAGAATAGCAAGGACTTCCGTGGCAGTCCAGTGGTTAAGATTCTGTGCTTCCACTGCAAGGGGCATGGGTTCAGTCCCTGGATGGAGAGCTAAGATCCCACATACCGTGCGGCCAAAAAAAGAAAATATTTACTAATAGAACAGCAAGACTAGACAGAGTTTGGGTAAGAATGTGGGGCCAGACACAGGCTGACATTGACCAGTGACGGAGAGCAGATTTGTCAGCCTTAGCAATGTGCTTCATTGATCTAGAGCAGGGACTGGCAAACTTTTTCTGTAAAGGGCCAGATAATGGATATTTTAGGGTTTCTGGGCCAATTCAGCACTGCAACTCCTGCTCTGCTCCTGAAACCCAAAGGCAGCCACAGACAATGTGGGCGCAAATAGGCATGGCTATGTTCCAGTAAAACTTTATTTATAAAAAGAGGAAGAGGGGCCAAATATGTCCCACGGGCCATTGCTTGACCATCCCCAGCTGTTTGGTGGACAGCTGGGCTAAACTGCCTTTTCTCTCTTCCTTTCATTCACAGTGGGAAATTTGGACAGGTCTTTCGACTTGTAGAAAAGAAAACTGGAAAAATCTGGGCAGGGAAATTCTTCAAGGCATATTCGGCCAAAGAGAAAGAGAACATCCGGCAGGAGATCAGCATCATGAACTGCCTGCACCACCCCAAGCTGGTCCAGTGCGTGGACGCCTTCGAAGAGAAGGCCAACATCGTCATGGTCCTGGAGATGTGAGTGGCCTGTCGAGTGGTGGCCCAGGCACAGTGGGTCTGGGAGCCCCTCCTGTTCCTCCCCTACTGTCCCATCCCCACCCTACCCCTCTGCTGTGATGTGCACGGCGCTCTGCAGCCCGTCTGGCCAAGTGGTGACCACTCAGAACAGCCCACTGTGCACAGCGCTGGTCCCGACCCGCTGCCCTCTCCTGCCCTCTGCTCGGCTCCAGAACACACTGTTGGGTCCTTGAGGACCCCTTTCCCCCTCACCTCCCTGTGAAAGGCCAGGGCTCCCTCTGTGCCTCCTCAGTTTCATTCAGGGCATTCTGACCTAAGGTGGTTTTAGAGCAGAAGTGGGGGATAGAGCCTGTGAAACAGAAGGGGCCCCAGGGTTGGGAGCTCAGCCTTGCCCCTGTCCTCTGCTCTGTCCTGCGTGCCCCTGGTCCACACTGATATGCTCTCTCTTGACCTCTCACTCACCCAAGAGCAGTGCTTTCTGAGCTGGCTTGTATAGAGGCAGGGAGATGATCAGATGACATTCAGTCAAGGCTTTCCTGGATTCTGTTGTTTCTTCAAGTCCCAACCTTCTTTTTCTTCCCTCTGAGCTGCTGGTCTGTGTGTGCATAAACACACACATATACACACGACAGACACATACACACAAACACACACACACAAATGCACATACTAGAGTCGGTAAGTCAGGCATCCTCCACAGTGTGTATTTTTTAAGCATTTCCTTGCTTTTTTATAATCTGAATTTTTAAAGTATATGATACAATCATATAAAAAAAATAAGAAAATATACAATGAAAGTCTCATTCCCACACCTGTCCCCTATCTACCCCTCATCACCACTGGTAATGAATTTTGTTAGTTCTGTCTGTGTCCTTTCGAAGTTTCTTTATTGCAATGCAATTATTTGTTATTTATAGATATAATTCATACATATTTTCGTATTTCTCACCTCTTAACCCAAAGAGAAGCTGTACTCAATATTCTATACTTGGTTTCTTTGCATTCAACAGTGTGTCTTGGAGAGGCCCATACCAGTAGCCATGGTTTCCTCATTCTCCCTTCTCCCTGGGATCTCATCGTGTGCATAGACCACAGTTTATTTGTCTTCTTTTGATAGGGACCTGGATGGTTTCCAGGCTTTTGCTTTACAAAAAGGCAGTGTCTGTAACCTTGTACATACATCTTTACCCTCATGCCTGCTTTACATCCCATAGAATAAATCCCCAGAAGTGTGGGAGTGCTGGAACAAAGGAGATATGCATTTGAAAGCTTTAGCAATATTCTGAAATTGCCTCCAGCATCCTTGAATTGCTTATCCCGAGACTTAGGGATCTCAGTGCTTTGGAGAGGACCCTGTTAACATCTCAGTGTTCTTTCCTAGGAAAGGTGAGGCCTGCGAGGCAGCCCCAGTTTGAGTAGTGACTCCCTTCACTTCTTGAACCTTTTGGTGTGTTTCCTTTCAGTCTGTCCTTGGGGAGGGCAGTCATGGTGAAGAGACAGACTTGAGTCTGAACAACCTCACTCCAATCCCTGCTCCGCCTCTTGTTGTATGACCTTGAATAAGTTACCCAAGTGTGCCAGTCATTAGTTTTATTATCTGTAAAAGGAGGCTGTAAACCACCCCATGAATAATGTGGGGCTTAGATGGAATAACATGTGTCAGGCAGAGGCTCTATAACTGCAAGTTATTCTTAGGAGTATGACGCATTGACTTTTTTCTATATCCCAGTCTTTTCTCCACTTAAAATTATTTTGTGAGCATTTTAACACACAACTGAATCTGTGGAAATCCTACTTTTCAGGAAGCTTGGGGACAGTTTCTGTGACTGTTGAGCTGTAATTAGCTGTAATGATTCTGTAATTAGGAAATCCTTCCAGTGAAGAGCAGCATTTGATGAGACGCCCTTTTTAAATTCTGCAGTTCTGTGCAACTTTCACACATCACACAGATTCAAAGAAAATCCTCATTCATCACTTGGAATCAGTTTTCAACCCCAAATTCAAACTTCCCTCCACGCTTCTAGGGAAGATTGAGCCTGAGTCCGAGGCCTCACTCGTCACGCCCTCACAAGAGCCCTTTGGGCTGCTGCTCTTCACATTTATTGTAGAGCAGGTTTGGTCCGGGCAGTGTGGGCATGTGGGGACATGTGAAGAAATGTCTCTCTTTAGAAGTTAAACCTTGAGCAAGTTCATGAGAAGGTGCAGGAGGGGGTAGGTGGCAGCCCAGCCTGGATGAGGCCGGGCAGCAGCACCAGTGGGCAGAATACCATACTTAGCTTGGAATTGGGACTTGGCAAGCTGGATGGAAAATGTTGGGAGGAAACGTAAGAAGGCTTCATCTGGTCTGGCTTTCATCCCTCTGCCCCATGCCTCCCCCGTGGACAGGAGTGAGTCTTCCATGCACCGACACCAGATGATTCTCCTGCACTTGGAGTAAGGAGATCGCCCCTTGATAGGAGCTCGACTAAATTTGAAGGAGTAGATTGATACTCCATCTGTCCTTCCCTTCCAGCTTAAATAGACCTGGCCATTGACAGGGAAAAGGTTGGCTTTCAGCAGTACAATTTGCTCTTCCCCTTGTTTGATGGAGAAACAGAGTAAGAGAAGGACAGTCCCTGATGATACAGAAAAATGAAACTGTATTCCAGGGTTCCAGCTTCCAGATCAGCTGCCTCACATACACTGAGAAATCAGAGTTAAAGCATCTTCAGCCTTTCTGACCTCTGATTACAGGACAAGCCCCCATCACTGTAGCAGTGTTTCTCTGTTATAAGGGTTCCTTCAGACTCCTCTTCAGGGAGTCAGGAATGGTCCTTGTGGGACAGTCCAAGTGGTAGTGGGACCCTGAGCACCCAAGCAGATGCAACTTAGGCTGAGTCATACGTTGCCCGTCTTACCTTTGTGCTACCATTGGCAAAACTGATCAAAGGAGAAGCAGCTGGCGGCCATGACACAGGAGAGGGTCAGGGTGTGGGGCCCCATGGAGTGGCATCCTTCTGGCTGCCAATGAGGGCTGGCCATTATCTACAGTTGGGGGATAAATACAGTCCCTTGGGATAAGGCGAGTATTCATTAGTTCATTCACTCTCGCTCTCACTGTTAATCTATTAAGTATACATTTCCTTGGCCCAATCTTGGCCCGTAGCTTTATCCCATTTCTGTGGATGGTAGCTTCTTTCCATCCACAGTCTTGAACATTTGGAAGAGAAACCTATACAGAAGCAATAATCCTATTTGTGTAAGTCCTACTACCATCCTTGAAAATGAACCACAGGAACAGTTTTCAAAATACATTAAATAGATTTGAATTGGTGTGAATATATATACACCTCTGTTGAATAGGCTACCTCTAGAAATGCAGCAGTAACCATCTCCATGGCTCAGAATTCTACCACTCATTGCCACAGACATTCCCAAGGATGCTACAAAAAAAAAAAAAAATGGTTGCTTGCTTTTTCAGAATATTTAAAACCAAACATTTTGGAATACCTTGTCTGTGCCAGATATTGCCAGGTATAAACAGGGGTCTAGAGATGAACCAGACTTTTTCCAGACATGTTCACAAATAACATTAAAAGAAAGCAGACTTGATGTAAAAAGTTCAGAAATGAGACTGTGAGAACCCCCAGAAAGAATGATCATATGATGAAATCAGGAGTGATTTCTCAGGGGGTGTGAATTTCAGCTGGCCTCCCAGGAGTGGTAATTGAGTAAACCAGTATTTCTCAAACTTATCTGATGGTAAGAATGACCTGGGGTACTCATTGAAAATATGGATCACAGACCCTGCCAAGATTTTCTAAATCAAAATCTCCAGGAGAGAAGCTTGGGAGTCTGTATTTTCAACTAGAGCCTCTTCTGCAACTGGTTGTTTTAAAATAATAATAATAATTAAAATTATTGAGCACTTACTATATGCCAGGCACTTTTCTAAACATTTTACCTGAATTAATTCACTCAGTCTTCACAGAAACCCTGTGAGGTGGTACTCTTTTTACTGACATCTTGCAGATAGAAACAGGCTCAGAGATGTTAAGAACAGCCTGAAACCTAGGAAGTTACAAAGGGAAATTAGAGTTTGATTTAGAGCCTGGGTGGAGAGCAATAGAAATGGGTTTGAGGACAGAGGCGCCACCTCCTGGCCACGCAAGGACCTCCTTCTCAGTTGGTTCTAGCACCCTCTAAGTGTTGGTTCCAGCACCCTCCAGTGGCCACTGGAACAAACCGACCTTTACCAGTTCAGAAGTGAAACTCTTTGTCCTGTGGTGATGGAAGCCTGCAAAGGCTTCAGGGGTCCCATGGGCCCCATTGTGCATCCTTGTCTGTCTCTCCCTCAAGGGTCAGTAGCAAGATCCATTTGACCTGTTTCAGGTTGTCAAATGATAATTAACATGTTCTGAGCACCCACTGTATGTCAGGCATGTTTTACAGAAGTTCCTTCATTCCTAACTACTATGGTGTAGGGACAGGTTAATAACTTGCCCACTGTCACACAAAGTCAGGATTCAAGCTCAGCTATTTCTCATCTTTATGATGACTTCCCTTAGAAGAAGGAAGGCCCTTGGAAGAGGACAGGCCTAGAAAGAAGCCCACTCAGCCTTGTTCAGCTGATGGATCTATAGGCCATTGTGGAAAAGAGCGTACTGGTGTCTGGATGCTACATGAGTTACCAAGGAGAGCTTTAAACTTTCTGAGCAAGGAAGGTGGGTTGGAGGGCTGGGAGAGAGGCCCCATGCATTTGCACTGAAGGGAAACATGTTGGCTGGCTGTAGCCTCTGGGCCAATCCTTAGCAAAAGGTGCCCACTGCAGGCCCCAGAACCACCACGGCCAGGATCCAAAGTCTATCCAGGCAGGAAGGATGTACTACACTCCCAGCCTGAGCCAGGGAGCCAATGAGACAAGTTAGCTATGGCTGGAGGAGTAAACTGATGCTATAGGCCTAGCCAGAGGAAGCAAATTGGTCACAACTGCAAGTATTAATATAATGAGTTACAGCCAATGAATTTTAGAAAATGTGCTGAAGCTCCTTATTATTGGAGATATTTTTCTGTTTCTGGCTTTGTGAAGCCACTGCTTACAGAGACTGTGAGTATTTTAAGCTTCAGTTCTTTATGGTTGAAAGACATGGCTGGAGAACAGGATGGTCCCTCGCATCTACAGTCATCTGGGAGAAACAGGCTACCTGGCAGTTACCCTTTCTGCTCAGGAGAGCATTGTGGATCTCTCAGCTCAGGAGAGCGTTGTAGATCTCTCAGCTCATGACCACCTCTGAAATTGTCCAGCCTAGATGTTTCCCTGAATCCCTCCAAGGCTTAGCAAGCACAGGCAGGGTCCCCCAAGCAGGAAACCAGGAGGCCTGTGTCCTCCTCACACAGTGGAAGATTGAGACCCACATCATGGGGCAGTGGCCTGGAACTCAGAAAGCTGCAGAAAATGCCCAGCACCCCCAACCCCTGGGCGTTTCTGCCCTTGACCCCTCCCCCAGCCTGCCCTCGGCCAGTCTCCCTGCTCCGATGGTCTGAGTGCCCGCTCTGTCCCCGCAGCGTGTCCGGGGGCGAGCTGTTCGAGCGCATCATTGATGAGGACTTTGAGCTGACGGAGCGGGAGTGCATCAAGTACATGAAGCAGATCTCAGAGGGGGTGGAGTACATCCACAAGCAGGGCATCGTCCACCTGGACCTCAAGCCTGAGAACATCATGTGTGTCAACAAGACAGGCACCAGGATCAAGCTCATCGACTTCGGTCTGGCCAGGAGGTTGGGTAAGTCTGAGCTGCCTCTCCTGTTGTCACTAACAGATCATGGTAGTGGCTGTTTGTGTTCCATTCTGTGGGTATTAAGGGGGATGCACCAGATTGGAGCTGAGATCAGAGGCGGTGGAGACTGCCCCTCCCACTTACTAGCTGTGGGAACTTACATCTCAAATTATCTGTAAAATGGGATAATAATAGTACCCACCTCATAGAATTGTTAAGGGAATCAAATTAGCTAATACATTAGAATGATAAGAGCAGTGCCTCAGGCATAGTAAGCACTGTATAGTAAAAGTCGCTCAGTCATGTCTGACTCTTTGTGACCCCACGGACTATATAGTCCATGGAATTCTCCAGGCAAGAATACTGGAGGGGGTAGCCTTTCCCTTCTCCAGGGGATCTTCCCAACCCAGGGATCAAACCCAGGTCTCCTGCATTGCAGGCAGATTCTTTACCAGCTGAGCCACAAGGGAAGAATACTGGAGTGGGTAGCCTATCCCTTCTCCAGTGGATCTTCCCAATCCAGGAATCAAACGGGGGTCTCTTGCATTGCAGGCAGATTCTTTACCAACTGAGCTATCAGGGACGCCCAAGTACTTATAGGTGTTAGCTATTTATTTTATTATTATGATTATTCTCACTCTGGTGCCTTCATCAGCAGAACATTTTGGTGATGGTGCGTCCTACTGTCCAGTTTCCAGAGCACTTTCACATCCTTTCCTTCATTTGATTCTCACAGCAACCCTGTGAGATAGGCAGGGCAGATTTGTGAGCCTGTTTATAGACCAGGAAGCTGAGGTTCACGGTAACTTTGCCCAGCAAGTCCCACCACGAGCTGTGGTGGAATCAGGCCCTGGGTCTAGGCCAGGGTCCTCTGAAGCATCTCTGCTGTTCCTGCACTTGTAGGAGGCAGGGCATGACAGGGGAAGGCGGACGGGGACTTAGTACCCAGCCCTGGAATCATTTTGGGGGGTGATGGTCCTTTATGGCTCAGAGGCACCACCTAGGGGTTATGGCTTTTCCTGACTAACCTCCCACCACCTCCTGGGAGGAGAGACTTGGGACGCTGCACTTGGAGAGGTAGTGTGAGGAAGGGGCACACGGCTTAGGAATCAGACTACTGGGTTAGGTCCTGACCACCATTAACTGGGTAGGCAAATCAGTCCCTGGGCCTCCCTTTCTTCCTTAGGAAATGGGGGTAATGCTCCTTCTTAGGCAAGAGTATGAAATAGGAAAGTCCTCCTAAAGCAGGCAGCAGAGTACTAAGGACAGAGTGCATGGTAGAGGTTATTGTCAAGCATAAGTCACAACCCCTGCATTGGGAAACTCGTGGGAGAGACAGACGCACAGAAGGCCATTCCATCTGGGGCAGGGCTGTAATGGGCTCTCCCCACTCCCCACCCCCACCCCAGACATTTGAGTTGCACATGCGTTTTGTCAGTTTCACTGGTGTGTCCGTGCACTTTTTATGTGAGGAGACTGTTGTCTCTGTGCCGTTTTGCAAGGGGAGAGCCGCTGAAGGCCGGCCTGACTTGTGTCCCTCCTGGCATCCACTCACCTCGGGTTGGCTTAGGGATGTTCCAGTGATTGATCACTCTCCATCCTGGTTGCAGAGAATGCGGGGTCTCTGAAGGTCCTCTTTGGCACCCCGGAGTTCGTCGCACCTGAAGTGATCAACTATGAGCCCATTGGCTACGCCACGGACATGTGGAGCATCGGGGTCATCTGCTACATCCTGTGAGTCCTGGGCTGCACGGGGGAGGGCCCCAGGCTGCCCTGATGTTGGAGGGACCAGGGCAGGGCCCACCCAGAGTCAAGAGGGCCACAAGCTCCCAAGCCTCTCCTTGCCGCCCTGCCTCACTCCTGTGCTCATGGTGATGTCCACAGCCTGTGTCACACTGCTGTGGGAGGGTCTAGCTCCACGCACTAAGGTACCCATTCTGGGCCTGTCCTCATCCCTAAGGCTGGCCAGCCTGGAGCCTTTGGTCAGGAGGGCAAGAATATGGCTGGTGCTGTGTAATTTACCTTCACATGTGTTTGTGGGTCTGTAGAGAAGCAGAGAGGGAGCCTAGGTGCACATCTCCTGTGGGTGTCACCGTCATCCTCAGGGGACCGCACCCCATCCTCTTGGCAGCAGGACCTCACTGCCAGCCTCATCTCTGAGTTCAGTATATGGACTGATTTGATGATAGAGCCTTTAGTGGGGCCAACAGACAACAGAAAGCTACTGTGCAGTGATTCAAAGTGGGAAATTAGGTGGAAAATAAGAAGTCATTCATTTACAAATGCTGCAGAAAAGCAAGGAGGCCAGTGATCCAGACCAGGTCTGCAAAGACAGTAATCTGTGTGAATCCCCTGGGCCTCTCCTTAGATCACAGGCTCTGATTCAGAAGTTCCGGGGACCTGAGAACCTATATTTCTGACAGGCTGCAGGCATCTGATGGTGCTAGTCTGAGCACTACACTTTGAGCACCAGACCCTAGAGCACACCCTCTTGCTGGAATCTGGCTGATTCAGTCTCTGAAGTCCCAGGCTACAAGCAGGCATTAACCTCAATGGAAACCTGAGCTTTGCGGCAATATACAGTTATGGGCTGGTTTCCCTGAAGCTGCAGCTGTGCATGTAATCATTTTGAAAAAAAAGTTCTGTCGTTAAAGCAAAAGGACAAATTAAACATTCTCATAGAAAACCTGAAGGAGACCTCTACAGTTACTTTCTTAGATCCCCCAGGTCTTTGGACTCCATTATGAGAAATGGCTTTAGGTGATTCTGTTGCACAGCTAGGTTTAGGAACCACAGTTACCAATGCTTTAGCAGAAGTGAAGTGATTTTTTTGGTGCAGTGAGGCGTTTACATGTGCTCAGGAGTCTGACTCTCCCTGTGGTGTGTTAGGATGGCTTCTCTCCATTGAACCTGTGTCACAGGTTCTGGACCGCTGAGAGTCATGTTCTTCTCTGCTCAGGGTCACCCCCACAGCACAGCCTCCCCCTAGGGCAGCAGAGGAGAAACTGTGACCAGGAGTGCATCTCCAGGAGAAAGAGAGCTGAGGAGCGAAGAAGACTACACCAGACTCTATGGATCTGGCCCCTTGGTAAATAGAGAGAGCCAGGCAGCCAGGGCTACACCAGGTTGGATGGTGCTCTCGGTGAGTCTTTCCCTGGGAGAGACACCTGACTCTTGAGAAAGTCTTTTGTCAGCTACCTGTGACCTGGCTCGGTCCCTGGGTCCCCCTGCAGCCATCGAGGAGACTCATCTTACTGTCCCCATCGGTTTTCCCACTGGTATAGGATCCGGATCATCAGTTTGGTCCTCAGGACAAACCTGGGAGTGGGGTGGGGCAGGGATTTGATCATCATTTGACACTGAGGTCATGGGGCCTAAGGAAGCACACACTTCCATAGTCCTGAGGGTGACCAGCTGTTCCAGTTCAGCATCACTGCCAGGTTTCCCAGGATATGGGGCTTTCAGTGCTGAAGTGAGGACCATCCTGGGCAAACTAGGAAGACTGGTCTTCATGCAGGTTGGGGCCAGAGCAGTGACTAGATGCTCAGTGAACATGCTGAGTGAACACAGCTATAGTCAGACCCAGAAACCACCCGCTTGCAGCCCTCCCAGTACCCTGGCTACAGTCACCCCTTCAGGGGTAGCCTGATCCCCATTCTAACGTCGCACACCATGATCACCTGTTCTTGAACTCTGCGTAACTGAAATCACACAGAGACGTGTCTGGCTTCTCCTGCCTCATGCTGTTTGTGAGCCCCATTAATAGTATGCTGTGTAGCTGGCTGGTCCTTCCCAGGGCTGTGTAGTGTGCCGCTCTGTGAGCCTCCTCCAGCTTACTCATCCATTCTATGCTGATGGGCTCTTGACTAGTTCAGATACCAGTTCAGGGTATCCTGAGTATCCTGGTACATGTGCTTTAGTAAATACCTTTATGCATTTCTGTTGGATCTCGAACTAGAATTACTGGGTCCCAAGAGCACTTTATTTTAAAATGAAAATTCTTTGAGGTTGAAGAAGTAATTTGGATATCACGTGACATGGTTTGCTAGATTACTTTTAAAGCTGAGACTTAGAAATGGGGAAGGACTTTTTGAAATGGGGAAGAAATAATTGTGATGAACAGGGCACTAGCCTAAAAAGATCTGGATGGGGTGTGAGGAGGGTGGAGAGGTGCATAACGAAGGGAGGCAGGCAAGCAGCAGGGATGACACAGGCCAGCCCTATACAACCTCCCCAATATCCTGGCTCCTGCCTCCTGCCCCAGTGGGCTTCTCTGCCCCCTGGGACTTTTCCACTGACTCTCACAGTGGGGATTGAGGTCTGGGAGTCTCTCTCCCGAACTAGGGCTCTTGGTGGGGATGTGGTGTGAGAACAGAAGGTGGAGCCAGCTAGATGGTCTCCTCCCAGCCCTGCTCTGTGGCATTCTGGAGCTGCTGCTGGAAGCCCCCCTCCCAGGCAAGGTTCTCTGGCGGCCCTTTTGTACCTCCCTCCCTCTGTTTGGAGCTTGGTTGTCTATCTAGCAGTCCTTATCAGGGTCACCTTCCTTGTTAGTTCCAGAGGACACCCCCCCATATCCTTTCTGGGGCCAGTGAGAGATGGAAAGTTGGGGGCCGGGTGAGAAGATATGTATTTGCAGCACGTATTTGGCTAGCACCTCCTAAGTGAGCAGCCATGCCCGGTAGGTTGTTCTGACTTTGCTGAAGGAATTCCTCCTCACACCTTTGGAGAGATCAGGGCAGATCCTGTCACAGCACAGAAGACCCACCCACCCCTGCCCAGGGTCCCCAGGCAGGGCAGAGGTGCAGCTGGCGGGGTTGTGGGGCCCCTACCCTCTCACCCCTGATTCTGAAGGGAGAGAAGAGATTTCATGAGTTTGCTGAGACTTCTGCTGTTAGCAATCCCCGTGTGGTTTCTGGCAGGAGGAGAGAGGACTGGGCTCTCTTGGCCATACTTCAACCCTGAAGACATTCTAAGCCTCCTTTCCTCTCCTGTCTCCTTTCCCCAGTTTCCTGAGGACTTGGTGTTCCTTTACTGCCTGTGGAGACCCATCTCTGTGTCCTGGTCTCACCCCTACTCCAGAATTCCTTCTCCTCCTTCCTTCCCTCACACCTCCACTCTGCTTTCTCCTCCCTACCATATTCCTGCTGTGCTCAGCAGCAGACTTCCCATTCCCAGCTAATTTGTGAGCATGCACCATGGTCCAAGGCTCAGCAGGCAAAGAATCCCCCTGCCAATGCAGGAGACACAGGAGATACCAGTTTGATCCCTGGATTGGGACGATCTCCTGGAGAAGGATATGGCAACCCACTCCTCTATTTTTGCCTGGGAAAATCCCATGGACATAGGATCCTGGTGGGCTACAGTCCATGGGGTTGAAAAGAGTCAGATACAACATCCACAGTCCAGACAGCCAGGTCCATTCCATATGGAGTGTGACTTCTGGGGACAGCATCCTTGTGAATGGGGAGAAGTCCCAGTGCCCAAGCATCGGGTACCTACTCAGACTCAGATTTGGATGCAGGGCTCTTCACAGGGATCCAGGAGCTCCATCTAGACATGCTCTCTGACTCCACCTCCTATGACCTCCAGGCACCCCATACCCACACCAGCTCCAGAAGACACCTGCAGGTGTTGCTCTCCAGGGACTTGGGCTGTGGTTAACATGACTAAACCCTGGGTTGCTGTTTCGTGGGCCACTACACAAAACGATGCCCTGCTCTTCCTCTGGATGCCCCCAGCCCTCTCAAATCTTCTCAGCATACCAGGGAATGAGTATCCCAAGGCTAAAATGGGAGAAAAGACTAAACCCTTCCTAAGCACTCAATAGTTCTGCTGGCAGATATATGGTCCCCTTTGCTGACTGTTCATGCACTAGGGTTATCTGCTATTTAAAAGAATTACAGAGAAAGTATAGTTTAAGAGGCCTTTTTGCTTTTTTTCTCCTGATGTTCTGTCTTGCAAGCAGAACGGGTCTCTGTATCAGATTCCCTGGTGAAGTTTGGCTGCAGTAAGAGATTAAGAATTAAAAAATTAGAACACCCTGAAGTCATATCCTTTGTTGACTCATTAGCACAAAGACTAATATTTAACCGTTAAAAATGAACATGAAGGCTGTATACATTTTTGAAAGACAATGTCAAGTGAAGAAGAAGTAGAGGATCCAAGAACTTGCCCACATTGATTACAGTTTTGTGAAAACCAAACAAATACACTGGTTATGTTGGGAAGGTAAAAACTTTCCTTTACCCTCTTAGATTCAGTTCTTGGGGGCTTGGAAATCAAACTGACAAAAGAGATTAACAAAAAGAAACCATTTAATTATGTACATATAATAAATGTTCATAAAGGTGTTTATAAAGAAATGTGACTCAAGGTGCATTTAAAATTTGGAGCTTATATACTACTTTAACAAAGAGTGATAAATTGTATAGAAATAACTGGACAAAGGGAAAAGGGGTTGGAGCTTCTGGAGGGGCTAAGTTGTGACAAGGTGAGGAGGAAATGTATAGAGACTGTGTAGCAAGATCTGATATGCAGATGAGGGTCTTTCTCCTCCTCCTGATAAGAGAAGAAATGGACAAACAGACCAAATGGAAATTCATGTCACCTTAATAAAGAGACATTTATGTCCTACTTTTAGACAGAAAGTGGTGGAACAAAGAGTTAATTGCCTTCAGCTCAATGTAATGTTTATGCCAAAGTTCACCTTTTGGGGTGGTGTACTCTGATCTCCTTCAGTTAAAAATTAGATAAGACTAGGAAAAGAGGTGAGTCATTGTGTTTATAATGATAAGGTTATTATGTTTGTTGATTGGGTTGAACAACCCAACTACATATGATCCTATGCAAATTCTAGCACTTAAAAAGTCCAAGAAAGGTTTAAAAATTATGCAAAATCCCACCACCAAGAAACAGGATTACTAAAATTCCAATACTCTCTTTGTCATCATGCTCTGCATATTGTGCAAGTTTTATTTTAGAGAAACATTCTCTTTATCGGGGGAGTGCTGGGAGAGCTGGGGCAGTCAAGGAGGCAGCCGAGGCTCAGGAGGCTCTCAGATGAAGGGGCTGCCAGGAAAGAGGATTGCCAGAGGCCAGAGGCCAGGAGGCTGTCCCCGACTGTGAACATCACACAGAGATTAAGCCCTATTTTTGCAGGATTGCAGTTCCTAATTAGGAAAGGAGGTTTACAGAAGGGGGCCTTTCAGCATTCCACAGTGGGGTTGTTGGCTTTCCCGCAATCTCTTGGCACACTGCAGGAGTTTCCCCTTTGTCTCAAATGGAAAATGGAGAAGGAAGACAGAAGGAAGCACGTAGCTGAGGGGCAAGAGTCAGGCTCTATCTTAATGGGACTAGTCAAGGGCACCCCAGGGTCAGAGAGCCAGGAATACTGGGAACCCCTAGCAATTCTAGCCCAGTGCCCTTGATGTATAAGGAGGGACTCAGAGGCCCAGAGAAGAGAAAAGAGTATTACATAACTGCAGAGACTCCCACCCTTCCCTCACTGTGAGGTGATCAAGAGTGATTGTCTCCATGCCATCTCAAAACATAAATTACTGTCTTGCTTTAAGACATTTTAATGCCATCTATAAAACTCTCTTATTCAAAAGCACAAATATGTTGATTAGGGTGAGATAAGTTACTCTGAAAAGGCTTCTTCTTTTTTTTTAAATGAAGATTTTTACCCGAGGGTTCTTCCTCCCATGGCAAGATTTCCTTGCAAAAATGGGACGGGTGTATTTCATAAGCTGAGGCCTCTTGAATGGCAAAACAGCTCCCAAAGGGTTTGCATTATTGTTTATGATGGTGGATTTGGGGCAGGGGATGTTAGTGAAGCCTTAACTGTGAAGGTTGACGGCACAATACATCTCAAGGGGCAGACAGGACCAGATACATAATTTGTGGGGTCCAGTGCAACATCAAAAAGTAGGGTGGCTTGTGCAACATTATTAATAATTTCAAAATTATGGCAGCAGAGCATTAAACCAAGAGTGGGGCTCGTCTAAGGCCTATGAGGCTAGCCCTGGATCAAGGTGGGTGGACGGCTGGATGGTTGGGGTGGAGATGAGGTGTCCAGGGGTGAGGCCACTAAGCCAGAAGTCTGCTCCATTTGACTTTGAGATAGTTCACCTTCCAAATTTTATTTGGCTCGAGCTATTGGTAAATGAATCATTCCCAGGATCATAGATTGATGAGGCAATGGGGGTGAACTATGTACAGAAGAGCTGTGTAATAGCTATGGTCACAGACCAAGCTCTTTACTGCAGACCAGGCCTCCTGCCAGTGCTGTAGGCTGTGGCTGACTTCATCTTTCTGGAAATGATTGTAAAAAGTAGCAGTTAGGAAGGGGCTCACTGATTGCAAAACCTTGGGCAAGTTATTTAACCCCACTTGGTGTGTCAGTTTCCTTATCTGTTAAACCAAGTGATGAGTTACCTGGGTTGAAGGGTGGTGTTAAGACTGAATCTACTTTAGCCCTCTGCCCAGTGCATGGCACATAGTCAACATTTGATAGACGTCTGCTGCCATGATGATGAGGATGCAGGAGGAGAACAGGGAGAGACGGTGTGGTGACCTCTCTGTAGTTCAGTAGCAGGTTGTCCATCTAATGGAGGAGGAAGCTGACACACGGAAATCAGGGTCCAAGGTCACCCAGCAAACGAACAGGCCTCAGTCCCTCTGAGGGAAGCTTTCTGGTTTGGCCTAAATGCCTCAGGAGCTTTGAACTTAAGTGGAGCTGCATCCCCAGACTCACACTGCAGGCTCAAGGTTCACCATCCCTGGAGACACCCTTGCTGAGCCCTGCGTGGGCTGGCCCTGTTCTTGGTGCTGAGGGTGGAAGGTGAGACGGTGGGACAGGGTGGGGTGACGAGTGCTGTGTCACGGGACGGTCCAGGGTGTGGGGAGGGGCGCACTCATCCTCCAGGACGTTAGAGAAGGTTCTGTGGGGCCATGTTCTAGCCTGGCCATCAGGGAAGAACAGACAACAGGGAGGAAGACCCTGCTCTACTGTGTGGAAATGGTAAACTGAAGAAAACTCCTTCTGCCTCAGCTTCACAGGGTGGTGTCAACAGGCGGGGGACATCCCAGAAGTACAGAGAGTGAGCCTGAGAGCTGGGGGTGCCCTCACCTCTGACCTCAGTGAGCACTCCCCTGGGGGACCACCCTCTCTGCCGCCGCGCTCCCCCCCCCCACCCCACTCACTGCTCTCCTCTCTTATCCCCCAGGGTCAGTGGACTGTCCCCCTTCATGGGTGACAATGACAACGAAACCTTAGCCAACGTTACCTCAGCCACCTGGGACTTTGACGACGAGGCCTTCGACGAGATCTCTGATGATGCCAAGGATTTTATCAGCAACTTACTGAAGAAGGATATGAAGTAAAGAGTTGGGCTTTTAGTCTTTTGGAGCTCCCCACACCCTGGACTGGGGTCCAGAGGCAGTGACTTCCTTTCCCTATGGTGGGCTCTTCTGCACCCGAGGACAGGAGGGTGGGCATGGTGTGTATGAGGGCCCAGAAAGGGGTCTTCTTGGGCCCCTGCTCCCTGGGGCCGGACACTGTCCTGTCTTTAGAAGCACAGACACCTCTCTTGAAAAGCAACCCTTGCCTGAGTGTTGAGGGAAAGAGGCAGCTCACATATGAATAACGACAGCCCCTTTTATTTTCCATGTACAGCTGTAGCCAGCAGCAATCCTGCTAAAACCTTACCCCCCCTTCTAGGGTTTCAGGGAAGAGATCCTATTTGTGGGGCCTGATCATACTCCCAGCTGTTCTGGCTTGATGCTTATTTAGTAGCTATAATATGTAGGAACTGCCTGCCTTCCACCAGGTGCCTTCCACCACTGGTCAACGAGAATGCTATCCCAGCTCCGTCTCTGTCCCACTAACAGTGCAGCCTGTGAAGTTCCCCAGCCCCACCTTGCAGGGCTGCACAGACCTGCCACGGTGGTCAGTGGATGACTGTATAAAACATCTGCAGACATCAGGATGCTGGAGTGTTCAGGCATGTAGACAGCCTAAGGCTGTGAGGAAAGGTCAGATGCCCAAAGTGCTCGTCAGTATTTCAGTGAGAGCAGCATTGGAACAGTAGAGGAGGCTAGAGCAGAGGAGGGGTCTCGCATGTGGCTAGACAGGATTCAGTGGAGCAGGGAAGTGGCTCCATCACAGCAGGAAGGTAAGCGGGGCTGTGCATGTGCCGAGAGAACTGTCCTGCTCCAGGGAAGGAAGCAGTGGGAGTGTTAGGTGGGGACAACTGGCTAGTGGACTCCTCACCCGCTCTGTGAACAGGTGGCCAGATTATGCAAGGCCTGGCTCAAACACGGGGTGTCCCACTTGGCCATAGGAGCAGCTCCAGGCATTTCCCCAGAAGATGGTGAAATTCGCCCTCGCAATTCCACCCCCCTGCCACCCTGCCCCTCCGAGGCTGTCCCTCATCTTGCCTACTCTGGGAGAAATCCTGTTTGGGACAGGAGAGTGCAGTTGCTAAAGGAGTGAGGTTAGGGGGTCTCTTAAGTGGTTCTGTCTGGTTTTCTAGTTACGCACCCACCTCTTTGTCCTTTGTAGCCGGTTCTGGACCAAACTCCTCACCAGAGGAGACAGTCCACACTCTTTGACAGTGATGTCCTCTTAGCATTTTGCTGTCCCAGTCTTTATATCAGAAGTAGGCCTGACCCAGGGAAAATCAGATGTTGTGGGGGGCCTGGATTTCCTTCTGGTGTGAGGGATCCCTGTTTCCAAGGTGCCCCAGGGAGATAGAAGCCTCCCTCCTAAAGACTCTGGTCCAAGGATAGCTTCTATCAACCAGGCTTCATTCACCCACGGTTTGGTAAATGAGGTATTATTTATATCACCTATCTTCTCATCTGACCTTGAGTTTATTCAAGTAATGTGCTGGCTCCTCTGTGCTTGTAAAATGGACTCACCCAAGAATTGATTTCATATAGATCAAGATACTAGATTCCCATAAACTCAAACTCAGTATGTCTTCAACCAGAAATCTCCATCTATCAGCACTTTTTAAAATGTTTTCTATTATAAATAAATATATATAAATTGTACAAATTTTGAATATAAGAAAATTAAAATAATCCATATCCACTTATAAAGATCACTACATTTTTCTATATTTAGCAAATTTACTTTTACTCATTTTCTACATATGTTAGCACTTGGTGCTTTGGACTTTACTAGTCCTTCTATAATTAAGGTGATGGCCCTGAAATATGTCTAGATCCCCAGAGCTTTCAGAAAATTAAATGAATTTCAGTGCAGGTCTAAGGTTGTCATAATTCATAGGTTGAACATAAGCCATACCTCTTTTGAGTTTTAATAGGAAAAAATCTGATACTCCACCATAAGACATGAGAGTTCCCTGATTTTCGAAGATTTGGACTTAAGGTTTCACTCTTCCCTCCATCAGACAAACAGATAGAAGGATCCGGCAGCCACAGCTCTCAGCCCTCATGTGACCCACCCTGGAATATGATACCAGTCATTCCAAGACATGTCTGTCCTCCAGCACTTAGCCTCTCTAGACCCCAAGGGCAGGTCATGAGATTCCAGCTGCCCATCAGTGTTTAGGCCTTCTTAACACTAATCTGTCCTGGGTCTAGTCAGTGTAACCCAGACCAAGAGAGGAAAAAGGCTAGGATCACCAAGATTCTCATCACAGTGGATGGATTGGGAGCAGACAGCCATGGGCTCTGCCCGGTGTGTCTAGGGACAGGTGACCTCCTGTTTCTGGTCTGACCAGCAGCCTCTGAGGTCCCCTTCTGCTCAGAAATCCTCTGATCTCTGCCTCTATCAGAAACCGTTTGAACTGCACCCAGTGCCTTCAGCATCCATGGCTAATGAAAGACACCAAGAACATGGAGGCCAAGAAACTCTCCAAGGATCGGATGAAGAAGTACATGGCAAGAAGGAAATGGCAGGTAATGGCAGGGGTCACTTTGGACTGGTCTCTTGCCCCTCATAATTGCTTTATTCAGCCACCCTCATTCCCAACTTGCCCTGACCTCACTCCATAAAAATGTTTACATTTATTTCTGAAATAGACTGGGACCAAGACTGACATTTCATGTCTCTGTGGGTAGGGATGAGCAATGTCACTTGCAGGACTACTTGGCAACCCTGGAGAATGTGATCTTATTATAGGCAGTGTGATGGTTTTAACATTTCTTTACCATGAAGGAGGTGGGCATGTGATCTACAATGAGAGACATGGGGGGTTGTGCGTTACTAGCTGCAAATCCTTAACCAAGTTACTTAACCTTGCTGTGCCTTCATTTACTCATCCATAACGTGGGGATAATAGTGACACCAAATCACAGCATCGTTGAGGATTATTTGAGATGATCTTCATCTAACCTCTAGTACATTACCTGGCACATAGTAAGTGTTCACAAATGAGATCAGTAGCTAATATGTACGGAGAGCTGGCTATGTGTCAGGGAACATTCAAAGCACTTTCTATGCAAATTATCTTTTAATCCTGGGAGGCAGGTACTACTGTTATCCCCAATTCTCAGACAAACAAGGCAGAAAAAAGTTAGGAAAGTCACCCAGGATCACAGCTAGTAAGCATGGGAAAGCCAGCATTCAAACCCAGAGACTAGCTCCAGTTACACAGTCTTAATGACACACAATTTAATGACACAAATTGCCTCTGATTGTTAGCAGATGGAAAATTATCATCCGAATCCATAGAGAACTTATCATCCTCTATTTTATTTTTATTATCACTTCTAGTAGTATAAAATTCCTGGGCTGCTGGAGGGTACATGGTTTCTATACTCAGTGAGTATATAGTGAAAGAGACCTGAAAAGCAAATAGACATAAAAGGACATAACACACAGCAAGAATTATAAACGATCACTATAGTTCTCCATACCCATATATGTGAGTGTGGACAGAGGATGGAGCCAATCACACCAGAGTTGGATGTGGTTGTCAGGAAAGGCTGCCAAGGGCAGGAGTTTAAAGTTGGCCATGGAACATGGGTAAAACACAGAGAGGAGGGGATAACAGCACAGTCGGAGGAAAAAGCTCAGAGCTATGAGCCGGACCTCACCCTGGTCATGCCGGCCTGACAGGAGAAGTCTTTTAGCTGGGCATTCAGGGGACCAGGGCTTTAGACCTTGCCTCTGTGGCAGAGAAAAAGAAATCACTGTTCTAGGGGCAACTGGGACACTGGTGATTTGCCACACAGAGTGACTAAACCATAAAGGTTGAGAGAAGCAGGAGAGCGAGGGGCTTCGGGAGTGCAGGTCTGAGAGACTTCACCCCCTGCACATCTCAGCAGACCCCCTGCAGTGGGAGTCAGTTCTTGGTTATCCCCTCCTGAAGTTGAGTGATCTCCTCACTTTCCTCAAGTACCTGGTGAGTGGGAGTGCCGTGCTGCTTACCTCACCTTCTGGTGCCAGTAGGATCCAGTGAAATCAGTAGCAAATGTTCTTTTTAAAAAATGGGGGGAGAGGCCACAAAATCAAGGGTTGGCTTTATGAATGATCCTGTGGCCAGTAGATCTCAAAGAAATAGAAGTATTTCTGACGTGCATAGGGTGACTGGTGTGGGGGTGGGGCTGTTTTCAGAGCAGGAAATCTCACTGGGTTTTGCTTGGATGAGGCTGTGGGTTAAAGGGCAGCCTTATCACGTCAAGCTTCTGGGAGCATCCACACATCTGCTGGTGAACCAAAGCCACAAAGAACCTAAACCCAAGGGATAAGTGCAGAGAAGAGATATGGAGATTCCAAAGGAAATAAATGGAATTTTTCAGTCAGATGGGTCAGGAAACCATAATTTGTGGTGATATTTTAATCACTTACATTTTTTCTTGCTGTTTATAGTGTTATTAGCCATAAGGTTTTTTGAAAATGAGAAAGAAAATGAAGAATTCAGAGAAGGAGCATTAACTTCCTATTTTAATATAGGTAGCAGCATTTGTAAATAGCTTTTCCACAGAAACAGTGGTTAGGTTTCATAAAATTACATAGAAAAGTAGTCTACCAAATTCCATTCAACACATAATGTCCCTGAAGCTGGTAATAGTTCAGCTGCCTCTGACCATCTTGTGTTATATTTCTTCCTTAGGAAAATGTTTTCCACATTTTCAGCTCTGGATACCAAGACCTTGGCACCCCTGGAGTAGGGGTTCCCTCTTGGAGCAACTGAGGCTCAGTGTGGTGAGGCAGAGTACAGTGGAGGGGAATAGAAAGGGGTGTACTGTGATGGAGGGAGAGGGGCAGGTGGCCCAGACTCTACAGCTGCATGAGAAATGGTTCCTAGTTATCATTCAGGTGTGGTTTTCATAAAAGGGGAAGGTAGTAACATGGGAACAAATCCTAACAAGCAAGGCAATAGATAGATGACTAATCATATTACTGATCTTAGAATGAAGTTATTCTGAGAGAATAGGGTTGGTTTTTTTAAATTTATATCAAAAGAATGTTGACAAGACACGGTGATGAGCAGTAGCATTGAGGGTGGGCAAGTTGAGCAGGACAACAGGGCTTATGCATTGCAAAATGAAATCAAAGGACTATGAATTGGAGGCTTGTGGGTAGCTGTCTTTGTTCTCTGAGAACCACAAAGACTTCAGTACTATGGACCAAAGGGCCTTGGGGAAGAGGGCTTTGGACTCAATATTGCATGGAGTACTCTTGGCTCTTCTTGTTGTTGTTTAGTCACTAAGTCCTGTTTGACTCTTTGCAACCCCATGAACTGTAGCCTGCCAGGCTTATCTGTCCATGGGATTTTCCACACAAGAATACTGGAGTGGGTTGCCATTTCCTTCTCCAGGAGATCTTCCCAACCCAAGAATTGAACCTGTGTCTCCTGCATTGCAGGAGGATTCTTGGCCACTGAGCCACCAGGGAATACAGCACTCCTGGCCATTACATTTAGATAATATGCATTCTCAGGGGAAATTGTAGTCTTGAGGCTGTTGGTGTATAGGTAGGGCCCATGATGGCTGCCTGGCTTTAGGGGGATCACCTTGCCTGGATTTTCCAGGGCCTGTCTCAGCTTTATCCCTGAAAAACTCTCATTGTGGGCAATCCCTCAGTCCTGGGAAACCAGGCTGGTTAGTCATCCTTGCTGCCTTTCCCAGGGGAGGGACTCTGTGCTGTGTTAGGAACACAGACTCTGCCCGCCTAGAACACAGAAACCCAGTGTAGGCAATTGCTCTCCAATAAGAAAAAAGGCTTCCTCAAGACAAGGATGGAAATTCTCAAGAATTGAAACTTCCTTTGGTGATGTTTTAAACATTCCAAAAATCTTGGTTAGCAAAGCAGCAACCAATTTTCAGCTTAAAGGCATAAAACTGGAAAGCTAGAACATATATTGTTCTTTTCCAGTTCTGATAAATAACTTCCCCACCAACTTTTTTTCTCCATGAATCAGCTTCCAAAGATTGACTTCTGATGTATAGGTTATTTTTAAGATTTTGCTTATCGAGTGCTTACATTTCTCCCTGTTTTAGAAATTATATGGTCTATCGCTCCATCTGATGGAAAATTTCCCCCAATGTGTGGTCTATTTGTTATTTGCTGCCTCCTCTGAAATGTAACAGTTTGATTTGCCTTGTTCTCATAGCTTCCTATGAGTCATTTTGTTAATGAGACTTTTGTTAAAAGTCTCTTGTTAAAAGACTTCACTTTTCTACACCATACAAATGAAGACAGTCCTGCCCCCAGTCTGTAGAAGACTAGAGCTGCAGGGAGATTTGAATCTTCCGGTCCAACTCTAAGGCCCAGAGAGGGGAACTGACTTGTACAAGGTCACAGCATAATCAGTGATTAGAGAACTAACCTGTCCCTTGTTAGGAATGAACCATCTGAGTTTAGAGACTCCAGCCTAGGGCAAGCTAGTCTGTGTTGGATGAAGACAATGGAGAGTTGAGAAGGGCTGGTTAGGAAGTAGTCTAGTCTGATGTGGACTCAGTACAGAGGGCTGCTGTGGCTGACACCACCTCTGAGCCATCCCTGAGGTCAGGGTAAGCTCCCCTCGGAAGAGCTGGGTCTCCCCACACTCCAGCTAGCAGAACAGATAATGATGTCACCAGTAACAGCTTCTCCCAGAATAGTGTGCAAGTTGCCAGGTGGTCTGTCTGCCAGGGCATTCTCTGCAAGGCCACAGTGCTTCTGCACACAGTGGGTCATCATCCCTCACCTTCTTCTTCATCACCTCCACCTGGGGCCTCCTGGGTTCCTTTTAGAGTGATCTAGCTTCACTGTGGGCCAGAGGGCCAGGGGCATAACCACACTGCACAGTGTGTATGTGAGAGAGTGGATGACCAGAGGACAGAGCGAGATGGAATGCCTGTCCAGAGTGCATGAAAGAACTCTATGGCCAAGATGGATGTGACATACAGGAAAGTGACTGTGGATACAGGAGTAGGTCTCTGCTTAAACCACACATACACACATTTTCTGTATGATTCCCTAGTACCCTGAAATTCTTTACTTTTGAAATAATTTTTTTAACTGAAGTATACTTGCCTGCCTGAAATGCTTTAGTGTGTGAAGTTAATTCAGGAAGAAATGGCTTTTCCAGCACAGATTGAGGTCCAGCAGGTAAGTGCCAGCTGTTGCCTTTGCACAGGCTATTTCCTTCCTCTCTCAGTAGCCAGTTTGTGGTGACATCTGCTCCCTGGATGCACAGCATCTGGATACCTCAGAAGATGCTTCGGGTGCAGGGCTGGAAAGCACTGGTTATGCTTTAGTTTCTTATCCTAGTCTTTCATTCCATTGACCTTAGGAAAGGGGTAGAATCTTAAAGGTGAGAAACACAGACACAATTAAGTATGGTTAGGGACTTCTTGACCTAAATCCTGTGCTTGGTAGAATTTTCACAATACAAAGAAAATGTTCAAGTCCTGGCATCTTTTTCAGTAGGAATTCTGTCCTCTTCCAAGGCGCCTCGACTCAGAAAAGCCAAGTGCTATGCTTTTCATTTCTTTGGGTGCTGCTTTTTTATGCCTGGGTGTACCTCAGGGAGGAACATCCCTCCAGAACTCCACTGAAGACTTGTGCTGAGGCCAGCAGAGTGTTTCCCCAAATCTCCTAAGTATCTGAATCATAAACAGAACTAGATGAGACCTAGATGAGACCTTGGAGATCATCTTGTCCAACCCCCTCCTTATAAAGAGAAGGAAACTGAAGCCCAGAGAGGTTAAGCCCGAAGAGGCTACTTGCCTATGGTCAATAGAAGGCTTTTTTTTGTCTTTCCAACAGGACCTGTAGGATCTGTAGTAACTGTTCTCTTGCCCAATTAAAATCCTATCACTAGCATTGTTTTATAAGAAACAGCCCCACTGGGCCCCGTCCGCAATAAGTCTTTGGAGCTGTCTCAGCCCGCAGTTGCTTTATATAAACTATCCCTTTTATGGGAGTTGAAGCACAGTATGAAAAGGGTTTTTGTCTCATGTTGACCTTGTTTAGTCACATTAACGCACACATTGGTTCCAGGCCCCATTCCATTCTCCGAACATCTTCTGACACGCTGATAGTGCTGAGCAGAGCAAGGTTGGGCTCACTCCTCTGGTGGAGCTCAGCACTCGGGAAGCCCTCATCTCGGGGACAACTGCTTCTCCTGGGCTGGGCTTTTCTCCCTGAGCTGCTCAGCTGGAACCAGGGACACCGCCTGAGCCCAACGCCAGTGTCTATTTTCCAGAAAACGGGCAATGCTGTGAGAGCCATCGGAAGACTGTCCTCTATGGCAATGATCTCAGGGCTCAGTGGCAGGAAATCCTCAACAGGGTCACCAACCAGCCCGCTCAATGCAGAAAAACTAGAATCTGAAGGTAAGGGACTCCAGAGAGATTTTCTTCAGCTAGATGGTGAGAAAGGAAGGGTTGTGGGTTGGAGGGGGATTTAGAGTTGTCGTTTTTTTTTTTTCTTTAAGGTGGGAGACTGATTTTATTTGTCATTAATACAACCTACAAGGAAAAATTCAAAACTACTTTTACATTGCCCTGACAATAATTACTAAATCTAATAATTGCTCTTTAACTGTTTCACCTGAGGTTGAACTATTTTCAGAAGGAAAGTTATTCTCTGTCTAATAGAACTAGATGGTCTTATATAAGAATTAACAAAGACTGCATGAAAAGTTTCCTTCTTATTACAAAAGCAATGTTTGTATGACAGGCAGACATAAATAAGTTGCATATAGTGGTGTGCTTTTAAAAAATATGCTTCAATTTTTTAAATGTGTCTTTGTGCTTGTCTTTTAACAAAAGTTAACTCAGATAGACCATATTTTTTGGTAGGTTTCGTGATGCTGAAACATGTTGTTTGAATTGGGTAGATGGTGATTGGCAGGGCCCCTCCTAAAGTCCAACAGGGTTAGTTGCTTGCCCACTGTCTTAGAGATGCTGCCCCATCCATCTCCTCAGTGAAGGCCTCGGCCTTTTCCTGCTTTGATACATGTAGGGTCCGGCCTCTGTCATCTTGAGGTGCCTCATTTAGCCTGAGACACCACCTCCCTGCTGCCTGATGCCTTTGGTATCCAGAGGTGAGAAGCTGAGTCTAGATCCTGTTGTGCACGAGGGATAATTGATGAAACTGCTTACTGAGCTGCCCTGATGCACCCGGGGACCAACTCTGCTGCACATGGGCCTGGTCCCTCCTTCTCCACCCCTGCCACTCCCCAGATGACCCAGAAATAGCCTGAAGGGGAAGGAGAGGGTCAGGAATCCCTCCAAGTTACGGCTTTCCCCTGGACCAATCCCAAATCTTGGTCCAGAGTCACACACTGTGAAGGCAGTATCCCTGTCGAATAGACTGCTCCATAGCAGGCAATAGGCAAGTCGACAACACCTCTAATATCTGGCTCTTCTGTCCCAAGGAGCAGATGAAAGGCCTGCTGCTGCCACCACAGGAGGAGGGTAGGGGGAGGGCTGGTAGGCTGGTGCACTCCTGTCCTTCCAAGATATCCTCAACTGAATCCTGAAATGGCATGAAATGCAGCCAAAAATCCTTTTTAAAGATTATTTCCTTTTCCAATGTGTCAGCAATAAGGGAGGGGGAAGTCCAAACATTTCCCCAGTTTGGTCACAGTTCTCTCTTCTGCCAAAACCATTTGGCAGCAGGCTACCCTGTCCCCAGGAGAAAGGTGTGCTTATGATTCAGTCCTCTAAGCTTCATTATTAGCTAAATCATAACAACTAGAAAAAAAAATTCAGTTCTTTTAAACCAGGGAAGAGGGGAGAACAGGGAATAAAGAAATAACCACATCCTCTTCCCTATCTTCTAGAAGATGTCTCCCAAGCTTTCCTGGAGGCTGTTGCTGAGGAGAAGCCCCATGTAAAACCCTACTTTTCTAAGACCATTCGTGATTTAGAAGTTGTGGAGGGAAGTGCTGCTAGATTTGACTGCAAGATTGAAGGTAAGTCTGTAGCTGTTCTTCCCTGTACAGGGGGTGTGGCGGGCTGGTGGGCCCCTACTGTGTGCCCTCGGCAAGATGTCAGTTCTGGAACAACCAGGCTGTGAGGGAAAACAGGTCAGGAGGAGTTGGCCCGCTGCCCCCCTCCACCCACTGAAGAACAGTGCTGTTTAGTCACTCTGATATTTCACCTACTTACATCAGCCACTAGACCCAAGTTAAAAGTGGTTTATCATGGACCTATTTGGCTCTGGAACGTGCTTATTGAAATGAGCTTTGCAAGCTTCTAGGAAGCATGTGAATTGACCACAAAAGGCTCTCACAAGAAGGCTGGTGCAGAGCATAGTATGGGGAGAAGACAGCTCTGCTGTTAATCAGCGGCCTGTGTGACCTGGGGCAGTGTTTCAGCTTTTCTGAAGCCCAGGCCCTCCTCTTTAAGACTGTCTAATGCCCTGAGTGGCTCTGGGACTCTGTGAGATGACACAGATAGAAAGGGGAAACCTTTCAAATCTTTTAAATATGTCATGGAGTTATGGGGGAAAGTTGTGGGACTGGTTAAGCGCAGAGAGCGCCTGCGGTATGACTTCAGACAGAGGGAAGTTGGGATGCAGGCCTCTGGCCTGTCTGCCCTGTGCTTCTCTACCAGCCAGAAATAATGTGGTCACAGTAAGTTGTTGGAGCTCAAAGAGCCCTAAGGAATCTTAGCATAGCACCTGAGGAGTCAGCAATGTTGGTGACACACAGCATGTAAGTTTCCACAGACTGCAACATTCTAGAAAGATAAGTGGTATGATAAGACAGGCCTCTCTGCTTCAAGGCTGTGACTGTCAGGTGACAGAGTTGCAGGGCTCTCTGCCACATTCAGTCAGACCAACTGCCCCAAGGCAGCAGAGCACTAGACAGCAGAAAGAACAAACTGTGCCTCCCACATTGTAAGAGTCTCCAGCAATCTGACTAGATAATGCCTTTTAGGTAAAATAACCCAAAGGTAGGAATGAAGAAACAATTTTTCTCCTGCATCACTATATTATCAAGCTGGCTTATAAATGCCTGGCCTACCATCATCTTTCATGTGTTTCATCCAATTGTTTCAAAGAGTGGATGTGCTGCCTTTGCTAGTGCGGAAGTGCTCAGAGAGGGGGCTCTGCTGAGAGCTTGGGGGCCACGGCTTGTAGCTCTCACCATCACCACTGTCTTTGGGTCTTAAGTTCTTTTTCCTTTATTTTTTAGAAAATATCATATAATAATTATCTTTTTGCTTACTTTTCTCTTTGGGATTATTTTCTTGGTATTTGCATTACTTTGAAGTGCTGAGGGGAAATTAAAGCATATGGATGCTGTTCAATAAAAACAAAATTCTACTTGAAAAAAATGTTAGAATTCTTAAGTTGTTCTGTGTAATTTTTATTCTAGTTGGGGATACAATTTTGTCCTGTAAAACAACGTCTCCAAAAATTTAAAAACAAGTCAATTAGAAGGCAGAAAACATTTTTATTGCTGAACTTTGCAGCAACATGACTAACACATAAAATGAGACTAATAATCAGTGTGGTCAGTTTATCTACAGGCATATTGTGTCTTTGGATCAGATTAAGACAAATACTGCTTTCTTTTTCTTAGAAGTATTATCAGTTCCTCCAATTTATGTTTTACAGGTTATCACCCTCAAATTATAATTTATATACCATAAAATTCACCCATTTTAAGTATACAATTCAATTATTTTTAGAAATTTACACAATTGTGCAGTCTTTATCAGAATCCAATTTTAAAACATTCCCAACACCCTCAAAAGATCTCTTGCACCCATTTTTACTCTCATTTTTTAAAATTTAAATTTAAGTTCAACTTTTTTTTTTTTTATGGCTACACTGGGTCTTTGTTGCTTTTTTTGCAGGGCTTTCTCTAGTTGCTGCAGGGGGGGCCTACTCTGTTACGGGGCTCAGGCTTCTCGTTTTGGTGGTTTCTTTTCTTGTGAAGCACGGGCTCTAGGTACTTGGGCCTCCATAGTTGCAGCACGCAAGCTCAGTAACTGTGGGGCACAGGCTTAGCGACTCCATGGCATGTGAAATCTACCCGAACCAGGGATTGAACCTGTGTCCCCTGCATTGGCAGGCAAATTCTTACACACTGTGCCTTCAGGGAAGTCCTTAAGTTCAACTTGTATACAGGATAAAAAAGTTTATTTTAATCCAAGAAGTTAGTTAGTTCTAGGGATGTGATTAGAGTTGGGGCAGTGTTCCAGAGAATAATCTATATCTGTATTAAGGTGGGAGGTGGCACAAGCCCTACATGGATGAGAAGTGGGATACCTGCACAATACCTGATGTGAAGTTTCAGACATTAGTATTTACAATATATGCCCATATTTAAGTGTAAATATCAAAATAGATGCTAAAAGCTAACATATTTTCCCCCCTCTATCCCCTTAATCATTAGAGGTAGCTAAAGAGTTTGTGTGGGAAAACCTTAAATAATAGTTTCTGCAACTTGTGCTCCCTCCCTGTGATGCAGGATACCCGGACCCTGAAGTCGTCTGGTTCAAAGATGACCAATCAATCCGGGAGTCCCGCCACTTCCAGATAGACTACGACGAGGATGGGAACTGCTCTTTAATCATTAGTGATGTTTGCGGGGATGATGATGCCAAGTACACCTGCAAGGCTGTCAACAGTCTTGGAGAAGCCACCTGCACTGCAGAGCTCATTGTGGAAACCATGGAGGAAGGAGAAGGAGAAGGGGGAGAAGAGGAGGAGGAAGAGTGAAACAAAGCCAGAGAGAAGCAGTTTCTAAGTCATATTACAAAGACTATTTCTCTAAAGCTCAAAAAAAAAAAAAACCCGCAAGATAGTAAAAGCACCCAGTGTGATAGATTAGTTAGGTTATTTGGGGGTTGATTCTTCAGCAGCAGTGGTTGACACCCAGTAGCGTTATTGATGGGCATTACTTTAAATTAGCTGGTACCTAAAGATACTAGTACAGCTAGATTTCATTTGGGGAAATCACCAGTAACTTTCTGACTAACTGATTTTAGAGAAAAAGTAACCAAAAGGGAGCTTTATCTGGGCAAAGTCATAATTCCCCAACTGAAAGCACTCATGAAAAATAAGGCCCTCTGGTCACAGCCAGCCCAAGGGTCCCTGGATATGGGGACTCCCCAGCTCCTCCTCCAGGGAATTGCGTCTTCTCCAGGCCTGTGGCACTTCATTCTGCAGGCAGTTGAGCCATTTTAATTTATGAGGCACATTATTTCCAAAGTATACCATAGACATTTGAACTTTTCATTTCCATCCCCTGTTCGACCTGCCAGTTTTTCTGGATTTGGACTTGCCATGAGTTTAAGCATTAGGGACACTTCCTAGATTCTGAAGACATGTCTCCTGCTCATGGATGACTGGCTTCCTTAAAAAATAAAATCTCCTTTCTTCCAAAATCAGTAGGAAATCTAAACTTATCCCCTCTGAAGATGTCTAGCAGCTTCAGACATTTTTATAAGAACCTATGGGGAAAAAAAATCCTTGTTAATGTGCTTTTTTCCCCTGAAACCAGGATTCCTTTTTGTGCTGTTTAGAATATCAGCTCTGCATGTGTGGTAAAGATTTTTGTGTTTGAATGTATGAAAAAGCAGTTTGCCGAAAAGTTAGTCTTAATTATTTATTGGCCACTATGAAACAGATTTCAACTGAAGAGCTATAGAACTCCATGTACTTTGAAATCTCAGTCAGGATAGTCTGAGATTAATATACCTTCATTTTTAAACATGTTCCAAACAGCTCTGTCTACCATCTGGGTTCCACAAAGTTCTTCGTGGATGTGTATCAATCATGCCTTGCCCCCAACCTTGAAATATATTCTTAATCTGATACATGCACTCAGACTTGCATCTTTAGGAATTTCTTCTTTCACTACATTGGCACTTAAATTTTTCTTCATAAAACTTTTTGCAGGTCATAAACAAAGACCATAAACTGATATGCCTAATGCATTTCCTCTGTGTGTAACATTCCAAATACTTTTTTCTTTTCATCCACTATTTGTAAAGTGCAGCAATTTAATATTTCAAGGGCCTTTTAAAGAGTTCTATAAGAACCAATTTTAAATTACTTCAGTGCAATCCTACACAGTATCAGCATTAGAATTTTGATGTTACTTAGTCTTATGTTATCTTCCATTCTATTTTTATCTGCTTCTTGCTGCTAGTTTTAAATTGCCAGTATTTTGCTTTTTAAGCAGTTACAATATTTTTCATAATAGCCACAGTATTGCCACAGTTTATTATAATAAAGCATTTTAAAGTTGATTTAGAGCATTCAAAGCTTTTCTTCATCACTTTTCATTGTATCTAGACTATAACCTTTGTGTGCGTGTATGTTGTATACGTGTGCGCATGTGTAGTGTGTATTTTTGTTTACAAGTTTTTTGATGCCTTCTTGAAGTTGTGTTAATGTTCTCCCAGTTTATTATGCCATCAGAATGGTAAATGAGAACACTACAACTGTAGTTAGCTCACAATTTTTAAATAAAGGATACCACAGTGCATGCTGTTTGTTCAGTCTCTGCAGCCTTCTTTTCCTTTCCACACCACCAGTTGTAGATGACCGAAATAGATCTCAGAAACTAATAACAAACTCTCTGCTGTATAAATGATTTATGTGGTTATCTTTTACTAAGGAACAGAATGACTTAGGCAGTTCTAGTTTATACTAGGTAGCCTAATTTGCACATTTACTTCAAAATTTCTCTTGAGCATAATTTTGGTTCAGTTACATTCTAATATCTATAGTACCCTCATAGTGCTAAAATCTATCTGACATTTTTAGTATGCCACAAAATCATCATCATAACTAATATCACTTACCAACACTTGGTCTGCATTTGTAACTTTGGAGCAGTTTGTTATTGGCAGCCAAGTGGTATCTTTGCATGTCTTGATATTGAAGCATTTGTTCTCAGGAAACCATCATTCCTGTTTCATAGTAGTCTGTTATCAGAGAACAGATGGTGGAGTCCCCCCATGTCTTGAGTATTCAAACAATATTGTAAATATTCTAGAAAGAATCAAGATATACTATTAAATGCTGGACTAGATGATTCTATGATTCCACAGTATAGTCTGGAAATAATCCATTGTCCAGATAATGTTAAATTGTTTCATATTTTTTAAGATAACCACAATCCACAAGTGTTCCTACTCAGAAAATTTTATTTTTAAAGAAAAAGACCTTTTATTCCTTGCTAGTGAAAAATGTACCTTATGTTCTGAAAAATAACAAATAATTTCTTTTCATCCTGTTCTCATCCCAAACATATTAAAAAAAAAAAAAAGAACACTGATTATTCCTTACATTGCAGAGCTTCATATAAATGAATTTCTATGTCAGCCCTAACTTTACTTACAGAAAGTCTCTTTTTATCAAAATGTTTTGAGTTTTACTTCCCACATTTTACCTGCTTTTAATACATCTGTGCTAAAGAGTATTAAGGAGGTGAAGAATAATTGAATATTAAAGAAACTAAACTCTCCACATTTCAAGAAAACACAGGTAACACTATATCCTTTACCCCTTGGGAACTCTGTTTTTTGAAAAGGAGGGTAACATCTGTGACAGTCATTACTGAGGTTATTTGCCCACAGCATATGATCAGGACCACGTTCCCGCCTCCCTGGCCAGGTAGGGCTGTGTGTCTAATCCTCGTCAGCGGTGATCCCCTCTGGTCCAGAGAATTTAAGTACTGGTGCAAGACTCTCCATAATGATTGTCAGATGGTGGCTACTTTATCCACCTGGGTCCCAAGCCAACCCCAAACAGGTACATAACACAAGCAAGAAATAAATCTTCGTACTTATAAATCGCCAAGATTTTAGTGTTCCTTGTGGCTGCAACATAGCCTAGACTATCCTTTTATAAGGTCATCACCATATTCTAGATCTGTTCTGACCAATATGGTAGCCATGACTCACCAGTGGCTATTTAAACTTTTAATCTAAATAAAATTTAAAATTCAGTTCCTCAGTTGCACTAGCCACATTTTAAGTGCTCAATAATTACATGAGACTAGTGGCTGACTACATTATTGGACGACACAGATCAGAACTTACTATAAAGTTCCACTAGGCAGTACTGTTCTACATGGACTATGAAGAATAGAGAAACCCCAAATTTTACTTTAACTATGCATATTACTTTTCAAATTATTGTGAGAGTAAAACTTAATATGAAATTAGTCTGGAGAGAATGGTCTATAGTTTCATCAATTGTATCAAATAACAGTTTCAACATTTACATGATTGTGTTTGATTATTTATATTCACACATTTTTTCACTTTTTAAGACATTTAAGAACACCAGTTCTGTGCTTCTCACCACAAAATCTAAATAGATCTGCAATTTATGAGCAATTACTGAATTACTTGTGATATGAAGCAACCAGTTAGGCCAAAAATCTCTGGTGTTTTTGGAACTTGGAGCTACTTGGGATAGGGGAGCCTCCAATAAGGATCACTGAGATAGCAGAGAAAGAGACAGACAGCATCTCTGGGGCAAGATTTCCTTGACAGTGAACCAAAAGGAAGGGGAAGGGGCCATCCTGACAGCTAGAGTCATTTCAACCTTAATGGCTTTGATCATAACTCCCTTCCTATTGGAACCGGAAATACTCAGGAGACCTACAGCATGTGGAGACAACAGTCAATTTCTAACTGCTGGTTGTTTGAAATTTTAGCTCATAAGCCTTCTGGTATTCCAAATTCTTGTACACTGCAGGGAGGGCTTCATGCCAAAGACCACAGTCCCAGTAGTGACCACACAGAACTACATGATAAATCTTCACATTATTTGATTCTCTGGGACTAGATTTCTTCCAGCTGGAAATAACTAAGGAAGAAGAAGGTTATAAATTAACCTAAGTCAATTTCTTATTACTAGCTTCTTTGGGGCAGACATCAGTAGCTTCCAACATTTAAGAGCCAGGTTAAGCTATAGGACTTCACATAATCTTGCTCCAGATGGTATGTTACAATGAATGATAGACTCTGGTCAAATTCAACAAACATTTATTAGCAAGCCATTATACAACCTATTCTGTAAGCTCCACGATATCCCAGATCTATATCTCCATAAGGCACCTTACCTGTTCACTGAAGGCAAATGTTGCAGAATACCAGGGTATGATCTAACTAAACAGGTTAATCAGCCAAGTGGAGTCAGTTACAGATGTACTTCTCACTGGAGTTCTGTAGATTGTGCCTCAGTTTCCTCATCTATAAACTTAAAGTAATAATACTTCCTCCCTCACAGATTGTTATAGAAATTAAAAGAGCTCATGCACAATACCTGATACTTATGGAAAGCTCTATTCTTTTAGCACTCGGAGATGCTAAGATGCGTTAGAAATATCCTCTACCCTCAAGGAACTGATAAAACTTCTGTAGAAACAAAACAAATATGTGGAAAAGTTATACACTAATGAAAGATGGAACAAATTATTTCAATTCTACCCCTCCAAAAAGAGGATCTTTGAAACTGAAAGTACCCATCCAATTGTACAAAACACAGTTGTTATGAGTTTAAGAAATATTACAACTGCCCTGTTCTCAGGAAAATTTAACTTCTAGTCTCTAAGTACCCTCTTCACCAAGGAGAAAAGTTCATCTGACCTTTGGAGTCTTATTTTCTGAGGAATTTCTCACAATTGGCTTGACTTTAAACTCACATTTAACATTTAATCCCCAAATGTTTGCTAATTTTAAATTTATATTTACAAA